TATTCTTCAGTGCTACAATATGCTGACTTGCCCTCTATTTTTTTTTCAGTGAAATTGCTTTTCTTACAATAACATCCTCAGTGCCAAATTTGGTGGACTCTTTACAGCTCTTATCTTTAGTCCTGACGGCTTTACAAAGCCCTTATTTGTGTTGATCATGCTGTCTCTCCCCTTCTATCTTTTGATACCATTCCCCCTAACTGTTCTTACATTTTGCACCTCCTCCTTAAATTATTCATGTTCCTGTGGTTCTCTTCTCCACCATTTTCTAGTCACAATTCGTCTAGGTAACCTTGTCTACTGCATGGCTTTAACTACAGTGTCTCCCGTAATCCTTACCTTCCTGCATTTCTCTTCTGGGGACCAAGTTCATAATACTAAGAGATTGTTAGATATCACCACCACCGTGTTGCACGGGCCCCACAAATGGTAACACTTCCCAAACTGAGCTATATCTTCTGCATACCTTTTGTTCTGCCCCCAGCAAATGATATCACCTCCTCCCAGTTCCTTAGGCTAAAAACTAGTTATCATCCTCAACTTTTTCCTCACCTTACCCTCTTCATTGCAGTTAACCAAGTTCCGTCAATCGTGACTTTAAAACATCTGCCATCTCTTGAGTGTCCAATGGTGATAGGCACTAGACTAGGTACCTTTTACATATTATCTATTTCCTAAATGCCTCTAAATCCAAATTCATACCTTCTTCCTATTCTCACAGCTATTATTTAATAAATACCCACAGCAGGTATTTAATAAATATTTGATGAATGTTTTTATTTGTACCATTTTCATGCCAGAAGAGCCATTAACCTAGGAACCACCTGGCCTGCTCCCCTCTTTACCTCCCTCTGTCTTCGCTTAGTCATTGAGTCCATTACTTTGATTTCCTCCTTATCTCTATTATCCATTCTTTCTCTCCAGTCCCATTACCACCGCCTTAGCCCAGCCTTCATAATTTCTTATTTAGGCTATTAATGATTTCCTTACTTGTCGGCCTTTTGTTTTGACTCCACTCCATCTATCTCATCTTGTGTTACAGTTGCCCATGACCTTTCTCAAGCATCAATTTAATCATGTCATAGCCTAGCTTAATCAGTTGCATCATCATCAAAATATCAAAATAAAGATCAGACTCCTTCACATGGCACTCCAGAAAGGTGATTTGGTGCTTGCTTGTAAGACAAGCACCTAGCACACAACCTTCACGTCCACTCTGTCCCATTATTTGTAATTCCTGACAACTCCAGGCATTCTTAACACCTCCGTGCTCTTTGGTCTGTGTGGGCGGCCTCCCTCTCCCTAGTCCCAGCTCATCCTTTGAGGCTGCTCAGACATCACCCTCTTCTAGAAGACCCTCCTCATAGCTGCTCTGACCAGGCAATTGGAGTCATTCCTCTGCACTTCCCCCAAAAGCTTGTGTTTATCTTCACTGTATCGTTTATCTCTTCTGCCTTTTTCCTGTTCAGACTATGAACCCCTTGAGGTCAAGATCTGTATCATGTTTCTAATTTTTATTTTTACATAAGGAAGAAGGAGAGAGGAGGAAGAGAAGGAAGGGAGGGGAAAAAAGGAAGAAAAAGGGAAGGAAATCAATGAATGAATTAACCTACTGGATAGTGTATAAATTTATTAGATATTTTAGTCTTGCTTTTATTACTTTTATTTAAATGGACAAATAACAGTCTCTTCGTTACCTACATTAATCTGCCCTGCAAAAACTGGCTAATGGTACCACTGGTAAATGTTTAACACGTTAAGCGCCAAGCCTGTTTTGTCTTCCTTTCTGTTTAGCCCGCGATATCCGATTTCACCAATATGCTTTCTCTTCAGTCAGTTGTCTGTGGTTTGTGTTCCAGTGCAGTTTAAAAAATTTTCTTTACCCGTAACAGTGACAATGTCAGCAGAAGAAACGTGTGAAAGCGATTCAAGTGAAATTAGTTTTCCTAATAGAAGAATATAATTTTTAAAATTGTATATCGTCAGTCACCAGTGACTGACGTGGTCTGAACGGAAAGTATAGTGTCAGATGGCGCTTAACGTGTTAAAGTGATTACTTAAAGTAATCCACAAGGTAAATTACCAATTTGTCTACTCTCCTGAAGAAAGGGCTACACTTTCTCAGTTAGTTGCTAATTGCTTTAAGTGCCAACTAAAATGCGGAATTGATTTCCAGGTTAACAGTGAAGTATATTTACTTTGAGCTTTTATCCTTATTAAATATTAATATATCCTCTTCAGTGAATTTCTCAAACAGCAAATAGAATGTTTCAGCTATCTCTATAGTTCCTTTGATTCTCCAAACTTTTCTAAAGACAAAACGTAAATCTAAGTGCAATTACAGAATTTATCCTGTGTAGCACCATTCGTTTCCCATGCTAGTTGGAGGACATTTCTATTAAAGGGAAAAAAATCTCTTTCATGGAAGATCCTTACTGATAATGCTTTGGTAATATCATCATAGAACATCTTTTACAGATATAATCCAACAGATACTCTCACCCATGGAACAGGTGCTTAGTCATAACACATTGTACCTACTTCATTGACGATTGTTTGTTTCATAGCTGTGGGGGATCAAAGTGAACTGAAGTGTATTTCGGTTCTTCTCAGTTGTTTTATTCTGTTTTCACCCAATAGTTACTTTTCAACTATCTCATCTTTTCCACCTCAGACATTTCTACCTCTAAAGGAAAACCACAAAAACTTGCCAAGCTTCAAAACCACCAATCAGTAATATATACACAGGCAGAAAAATATGCTGGAGGAAAGGGGTGGTGGTGATTCAGAACTTTTCATCAAGAGGCTACTCATCTATTCTTTTGTTCTGAATGGGAGTAATAATTTTTATTAGAGCATAAGAATTTGTATATCTTGTTAGGTTCATTATATTGGAATTTTTATTTTAAAAAATGATACACCGTAACTGCAGTTAAATGATATGAAGTTAATAAATATATCCTAAGCCTATTTGCTGGCTAGTATACATTACTTGTGTGTGTGCACACATGTGTGCATGTTTTAGCATAGCGTACAACTGTGAGTTTCTAAAAAATTCCTTCTTGTTGAGCTCCTTTGTGTAATTGATAGCACTAAAACCACCTGCTAGAGACAGGTGAACCCATGCCTGACTAATAAAATGATCTTCAAAAGTCTTACCTTGGAAAATAGAGTGGAAGGGAAAAGAGGATTTTTTCTTAATAGGGTCAGCTTATGTTGAAAAGAACAGTTTATGTTGGAAAAACCTTCGGTTTTTCAGGTTACATTTTATTGGTCAGTTACTTGGAATAAACAATATATAATAATCCAAGTAACCTATTCTTTGTTACTATATATATACAAATAAGGATTCTACCCAAGGCACTGTGGTAATTAAAATGAATTTTCCTTCAGATACTCAGATCAAGTTAATGCAAGGGAAAGTAGGTATTTTCTTAGGTTTTAAGCAAATCTAGGTTGCCCACTTGAAATGGCAAAAATCCAAGTCTAGACTTTCTTTTGGGGAGAAGTGGGTCAGAATATGATAGAAATAATTGACAAATCTTATGTATAATAGTAAAAAATTTAACAACCAACCACTTATACTGCACTGCAGGGTAAATGTGTCTTGCGCCAGCATTATCAAGCTTTTAAAAAGAAATACAGTAGCCCCCTCTCTTATCCATGGTTTTGGTTACCCGTGAACAACCATGGTCCAAAAATATTAAATGGAAAATTCCAGAAATAAACAATTCATAAGTTTTAAATTGTGCATCCTTCTGAGTTGTGTGATGAAATCTTACGCCATCCCGCTTCATTCTGCTTGGGATGTGAAGTATCCCTTTATTCAGCGTATCCACTCTGTATGAGTTGTGATAAAAAAAAATACGGTGAATGTGGCTGTCAAGTGCCATCCAACGGAAAGGCAGGAATCGTCAATATGGGAAGCGGCGCATTGAACCTTAGTAACAGTGTGTGATAAGTTTCAACTTGTTCGGTGCAGTCGGGTGTGAGCTACGGTTGAGAGCAGGTGTGTCTTAAAGTGTGTTGTAATGCCATCTCCATCATGACAACTCTCTGTGTCACACATCGCTTCTGGTATACGGCAGTTTCTGTCCAATAAAAACATGGTGTGTCTTCATCCACCTTATTCACCGGATCTGATACCATGGGACTTCTGGCTTCTCCCCAAAGTCAAAATGATTTGGGACATCGAGGCAGCCACAACAACGTAACTAAAGACATTCACAAAAGAGGACTTCCAGAACTGCTTCAGAAAGTGGCAAGAGTGATGGCATAAATATGTTTGAAGTGAGGGGGAGTATTTTGAGGGCGATTAATGGCAATATGTCTCTAATGTAATAAATTTTTAAAAATTTAAACATTCACCATATTTGTTGATTACACCTCATATATGCTACTGTCCCATTAGTCACTTAGTGGCCATCCGAAGTTGTCAGATCAGTTGTAGCGGTATCACAGTGTTTGTGTTCAAGTGACACTTTTTATACTTAATGCTCCAAAGTGCAAGAGTAGTGATTCTGGAAATTCAGACATGCAAAACAAAAGTCATAAAGTGCAGCCTTTAAATGAAAAGTTATGTATGCATAGGGTAAAAACACTGTATAAGTAGGGTACAGTACTATCCATGGTTTCAGGCATCCACTGGGAGTTGCTACAGCTCCCCCAAGGATAGGGGTGACTGCTCTATGCCAGATGATTTTTTAAATAATTAGCATTTTTATAGCTTGTGATTCAGATAAACACCTTTGAGTTTAATGCCATCTTTTGTTCTGAGCTTCCAATTATTTGCTGAGACACTCACTGGCTCTTGAAGAAGCCACTCAAGACTCCAACTGTGTTTGTTCTTTGAAAGTGAGCCCTCAGCTTTTTGTTTGTTTCCCAAATATTAGTCAAATGAAATAAGAAACTTAAATTCACTCATTGGCAAATTCTTTTCTGTTGGTTTTGAACCTGGCATTTCACTCAATTCTTTTTCTTGTATTTTTTCTTTTTTACAGAACTTCCTTATGGCTGGGAGAAAATAGAGGATCCTCAGTATGGGACATACTATGTTGAGTAAGTTTGTTACCTCAGTGAATCGTCTCCAAAATGTTTTTCTTTTGTTATGCACCTTTAGGGAATACTGAATACAGCTCTTTATGCTCATGCAATCCAACTTTCAAGCTTTTGCATGAGGGGAATGAGAAGTTAGGGGCCTGAGAATTTACTTCACTTGCTCCTGGCTTCCCGGAAATTGTCTTTGAAGTAAATATAGAGAGCTAGAGGGAAGTTGCCCCAACGATTAATAGCTGGAAATGTCAGCATTGCTACTCCAGCCTCTAAAGAGAAAAGTACTAGACAGAAAACTGTGAAATGAGGGCACTACACGAATTATTAAGGTCATTTCCAACACTGCAGCTATGTGGTTCTGAAAGCAATGAAAGAACTTTAAGGTAGTTCTTAAAGTTCTTTATGATCCAGAATTTTGAAGTATATGATTAAAAGTGTTCTCTCTTTTAAGGAGTTAATCAACGCAAACATAGTAATTTTGGGGGGAGAGTGAAGGTTGCTTCTTACACAGCTGTTATGGCTAAATTTAAACATAAATATATGTTGGCTGGAGCACCAAACACCTGCCTATGTTAGCCAGAGAAATTAGGATAACAGCAACATCTAATTTGTCTCCCTTTTCTTCATTTGTCTTATTGCTACATTGTTATGACCATAGGGGTTGCTTTCTTTTCAAATGCTATCGTAGAATTTTGACCTCTGGAATCTAGTACCAGATCAGTAATTGCATCAGAAATGTTACTGTTTACCTGGAAACTAGGAGTCTGAACCTACTGTCTAGATAGTGAAGGCAAAATGATATTAGCAACCATGAGCATCTTCCAGTTTTATGATTGCTTATTAATTTTTCATCATTCAGCATAAACATGCCACTTCTTGGTATTTATTCCTAAAGTAAACATCTCTGACACCTGTTGTTACTCTAGTCTTTATTCTAATGTGTAGGTTGTTCCTTGAGTCACTGTGTTTAGAGAGATTTTTGGAATGATTTCTTAAAATCTAACTTGGACCCTAAGAAAACGACTCAGTTAATTTGACCCTTAGGTATATAACTTCACAGTGTCCATATTTGGGTTCCTTTGAAAGGCTATGCTAATTTTATTTCCACGGTGCTGTTCAATGTCTTGCTGATACTGTGATGATCTGGTTCTCATTCAGCAAGGATATAATATTGAAGCAACTTGGGGGCAATGCCTGAAGTGACCTGCCCCCAGTTGTCACGGAGGCGTGTGATGAACAGTGCCTGCCTCAGAAGCAATGGCGGCAGCGGCAGGGTTCTGCGCATTATCCCCAGAACAAGCTCATTTTACAGGAGGGTCATTTGTTAAATGAAGAAAGAGCAGGCTGTACCCAAGATGCTCATTAGTATGGAGTCAGCTGAGCTGTGGAATGTGGCTGGAGTCCCAGATTAGTTAGGTTTTGAATCTCAACCACAGTAATCTGCAGTGAGTTTACTGATGGTGATAAAAAGCTGTTACTTGAATGGCTACTCTTTGGCTCTCTTAGTTTGTCAAAGCAGATGGCACAATGATTGTTCTTGGCAGGAGCCTTGTAGTAGTAACACCAACTGCCATGGCAGTTTTTCTTTGTTAAGTATTTATTTCAGAGGATGAGATTCTGACATGGATTCATTTATTTTTGAAAATTAAGTTGTTCCCGAAATGTAATGGCAGGCCTTCTATAAGAACGCTTATATATTTAGGAATGTTGTCTTGTTGTATTGCGTTAAATGTCTTGATGCACTTAGGTGACAAAGGCAAAATATACGTCTGATTTAATATTGCAAATTCTTCATGAAATAATAATGGTTTTGTTTGCTGAGATGATTTTTTTTTTAAGATTTTTTTGGGGGAATTGGGGAATGGGAACAGTGCTGGGGAATTGGGGGAAGGGGAACAGACAAGTTGCTGTCCTTTTTGTTCTTCAGTCTAGTAGGAACAGCCATGGTCATTGGTTACATATTACTTTCATGCTACAATGGCATAGTTGACTCTTTTAAAGAGGGCGCAGCTCACAGTGGCCCATGCGGGGATTGAACCGGCAAACTTGGTGTTATCAGCACCATGCTGTAACCAACTGAGCTAACTGGTCACCCCATACACAAAATTTTAAAGAGTCCAAATTATGTATTATATATTTAATCCTTGTTTGCTACCTCTGTTTAATTTTTCTGATAATCTGTAATCTCCTCTCTTACTTCCCATGGCTAGTTATATGGGAAACAAAATCTTTTACACCTTAATAATATTATGGATATAAGTAACTGAATGAAAAGGAGAGTGGTTTACTTGTTTTGGGGGATGGGGCAGTGGTATTTTAATCTAGGTAGTCGGTGACAGATGCAATTACTTCCTTTACTAAAATCTTATCTTCTTTTGTCAAAAGAATTTTCAGGAAATGGATTGCTCATTTGCATACTGCTATTCTCTTTTCCCACACATTACAAAGAGTATAAATACAAATTACTACTTTTTATGTTATAATGCCTGGGTAACAAATGAGTCATTCTAGCTGATGATATTACAGTGAGCCAAGGTTCTTTCTAAGCAGGTTTATTCTTTTTTAACTGTCAGTTTCTAGTTGTTGTTTATTTTTTTAAGAATATGTAAAATATCAATACCTAATAAATAATTTTTTAAATAGTACCTAAGTTAACACCAAAGGTCTTCATTTTCACAGAGCGTTAAACAGTTAATACAGTTGATTAGACGCCCTCTTGTAGTAAGAAGCTGACGCGTGCTTGAGTTTTAGCAACATGAGAACCGAAAGAATATCAAGCAGAACTTGCCACATTTAGAGCTCGGAAACTAAGAACTACGTTTGTCACAGGATTACTAATACCAGCAGCCTAAGTGCTCATAAACAAACCTGGCGGCATATCTTGCTGTAAGGGGTTTGTTTGGTCCCTGCTGCCCCCTTCCACTGCTGCCATTAACATTCACAAATGGCAGAGTAATTATCCAAGTTGTGTAACCACTTCTGTGAAGGTTTTGTAATACTCAGCCCATCTAAAGACAATCATAATCTGAAATTCTGTTGATTTCATATTTATTTGTTGGTATTCACTAAAAGCAATTCTTGGTAAGATGGATTGTACTGGAAAATGCGTATCATTTGGCTGAAATATATTTGTACTGTGGAAGTGTTGGAATATAATTCCCATTGCTTCTCGATTAGACCCAGTTGTGGTCTTGAACACCTCTTGCACAATAGTTGCATTCCTAACCAGCTTCCAGTTAACCAACTTGCCAGAATAACCAATGCTCTGTTCCCTCTGAAACTCACTCTTGCCCATAACACATGGTACATACTACATAGTACATTGACTTCTATTGGCTAATCGCTTACCCTCCTCGTCTCCCCACGCTTTTCTGCTTTTCTCCACAAACCTGTATGCTTTCCAGGAGTCATTGTGAATGTTGCCAAATCAAAAACACCAGTTAAACTTATGTTGTGATTACAAAATTCATTTAATTATCATATAATTATGAAGAAATTTTAAGTGTGGAGGAGTTGTTCTGTGATATAATTTCTTAGTTGCTGCTAAATCAATGTGGGTGAGTCAGTTGGAAAAGTAATAGTAAAATTCTGAAAGGCTTCTGTACTCAGATTTCTTCAAATGTGGCTTTACAGCTGCTTCAGTTTAGAGAAATTTAAAACCCTGCAACTATTAACTGGCTTTTAAAAAAATAACTCGTCAATTACCAATAGTCTGATTGCATTAAATGTGAGGGCTTCGACGGTTTGGGGGACTTCTTGGCTGTATTGGGTACGTTTATGAAGAAGCTATAGCAAATGCTTCAGCATCTGTGACTTCTAGGCATCATCTGTGGGCTTTTTCTTTAGTTGCCAAAAACCATTCCACTATGACCTGTCGGCCTCCTTGTGTTCCATAGCCTAGAATACATATTTGTCCCTTAAGCTATGGTGATGGAATGGTATGGTAGTCTATTTTAAGATAATGCAACTCTTTCATCTTAAACTGAAATGCATATTTTTCCACTTTTTACAGTCACCTTAACCAGAAAACCCAGTTTGAAAATCCAGTGGAGGAGGCCAAAAGGAAAAAGCAATTAGGACAGGCTGATATTGGGTCTTCAAAACCAGGTAGAAATTTTCTCTCAATCTTTTCTTCTACGAACAACTTGTTAAAAAAGAAAAAAGAAAGAAAGTAAGAAAGAAAGAAAGAAAGAAAGAAAGAAAGAAAGAAAGAAAGAAAGAAAGAAAGAAAGAAAGAAAGAAAAACTTGTGATATGTATATATTGAATTAATAAAAGTGAGTTTGAACTTTTTGTTGGGGCTTTGAAATTCAGAAGAGAATGTCTAATTTTTGTCACTGTAAAGATAGGACTAATCTTAATAAAACATCAGAGCGTTTTGAGAATACTGCGATTTTTCTCATGCTGCTTATATAAAAAGTATGAAATTCTTGGGAGAAGGGGTTGAATATCTTTGTTATGGGTTTGAGGTTTTAATTTGAAGATTCCATTGTTTCCTAATGTTTTAAGGCCAGGCCAACGCTCATTCATTATGAGTGTCTCCCAGTCTTAATTGCTTAGGTCTAATGTCAGTAATCATTCAGGATTCTTCATCAACAGGTATGAGCAAACACTAAATAAATCCACCATACTTTCCCTACATCACTGAGCCTCAAATGGGATGGTAGAGTATTAGTAATATCAGGATCCTTTGGGGAATTTTTTTTAAATAGATAGGTCCTGAGAGTTTGATGAGTCTAGCCATATGTATTTTGAAAAATCTGCCCAGAAATTCCTTCATTCTATTCATTCCTCCCCATCTCCTCCCCGGCTCCATCTGTCATTAATAAGCAGGGGTCTGTATGGTCATGTTGTAGTAATTGAGTAGACTCCCCATCTCCACTGCCCATGAGAGAAGCCGTTCTTTCTTATAGCTACTCTTCAGAAACATAGCCCCCTCCCTTCAGTTTTGCAGTTGATTTAACGCACATTTTTTTTTCATTTTTTTATTAGTTTTAGGTGCAATATAATATAATATAATATAATATAATATAATATAATATAATATAATAGTACAATAGTTATACTTTTTACCCCTCATAAAGTGGCAACCCCCTCCTCCAATCCACCCCCCCAATATCATACATATCTATTACAATTAATTCCATTGACTCCACTCCCCACACTATACTCCACATCCCGTGACCATATATATATATATTTTTTTTTCAGTTATAGTTGATATACAATATTATTCAAACACCAGCTTCAGGTGTACAGTGTAGTGGTTAAGCCTCTATACTGTCCATGTCTCCCTAACAAGACATGTGACTATCTCACACCCTACAAAATATTTACAACATTATTAATTATATTCCCTGAACTGTCTTTCCTATCCCTGTGGCAATATTGTAGTTACCTATTTATGCTGTCTAATCCCTTCCCCTTCTCCCTCATCCCCACCCCGTTTCCATCTAGCAACCGTCAGTTTTTCCTCTGTAGCTCTGAGACTATTTCTGTTTACTTTGCTCATTTATTCAGTTCTTTAGATTCCACATATAAGTGAGATCATATGGTATTTAAGAAACATTTTTAGTTTAACAAATATTTTTGAGCACCTACCCAGTGCTTTGGTAGGCACATGGTATTCAAACCGGATGAGGAGTAAGACAGGTCTTACCCTCAAGCGTTCAGAGTCTAATATAGGAAGCTAGTGGTTACAATATATGGTGACAGTAGTTATATGTGCAGGGGTTGGAGCAAGTTTGAATCTCAGATGTGTCACTGGTCACTGGATGAGTTCCCTAAACTCGGTGCCTCTGTTTCCACAGTTGGAATAATAATAGTACTTACCTCCTGAGGTAGTTCTGAGTATGCCAGTTAATACATGTAAAGTGCTTACAATGGTATCTGGCAGATGGTGACCAATAAATGATAACTTTCATTGTTATTATTATAATAGAGACATCCAAGGTATGATGGTGGCATAAAGGAGGGACTGTTCAACTTGGCTTAGCTGGAGAAAGTCAAGAGGGCAGGGGAACTTTCAAAGCAGAGGACACATTTGAACTGGGTCTTGAAGTGACAGGAAAAGTTAGACAGCAGTTTTCGAGGAGCAAGAAGGCATACCAGGTAGTAAGAACAGAATATATAAAACCATAGACACATGAAATGGTGGTCCAGGGTCCAGAGGGCAGATAGGCGTGGCTAGAGCATAGGGTTATTTGTGGGGTAGTAACAAGAGATGAGGTTGGAGGGGTGGGCAGCCATGAAAACAAATGAGCTTCAAAAAGAAGTTGAGTATTTGTGTCATGTGTTGCTGAAAAGTCACGAAAGGTGAACACTGAAAAGTGTACTTTGGATTTGACAATGTGGAAGTCATTTGTCACTCTAGCAAGAGCAAATGGAGAGTGAAGAGAATTGCAGTAGACTGGGGAGGGAATGGGAGGGGAAGAAGTGGAATGGTCAGTAGAGCCAGCCATTCTGATAGCTTTGACTGAAAGAGGGCAGACGAGGCTGCTGACTGGGGAGAATCATGAATTCCCATTTTACACGCAAGGAACTGAAGCTTTAATAGCGATTAAGCCTTTGCTTAGAATCAGAGTGAGCGTCAAGCCAGAATTTGAACCTAGTTTTACTGACTTTAAATTCTGAGTTTTTGTATTATAACACGTAGTTCCCGAGTGCCCAATCTTCCATGGCACCCATTAAGGGAGCTCTTCTCCCCGGTATTAAACTCTGAGCTCCCTGAGGGCAGGGTCTATGCGTTTTGTTAATTTAAGTAACCAGGCACTCTCCTATGAGCTGGGCATTAAAAGGAGAGTAAATTTAGGAGCCTACAATTTAGGTAGGGAAATAGACACATAATTTTAGTACAGTAAAATAATAGAGACATAAACAGTAGTGTTGGAACAAAGGAGAGAGAAATTAAATCTGCCAGTGGGAGGGCAGGAAAGGCTTCCTGGAAGTGATGGACGTGAGGCTAGTTCTTGAAGAATCATGGCTACTTTTATTGAGATATTGAGTCAGGTACTGGATTGGATGCTTTATATGCATCATCTCATTTAAGTCTGAGAAGATCTCTGCAAGGTTATTAATATTATCTTCCCTGTTCAGATGCCTGGATGGCATCAAGTTACAATTGTCTGAAGCATCCCTGCCAAGGATATACTTGCCACAGGGACCAAGGACTCAAATTTGTGAGCCAGGGAACCTTCCCTAGCCTGTGTGTCTGTGTTTGTGCTCATCTACATTTATTGAGCATTTACCATTTGTCAGGCACTGCTTGCTGTGCTTTCTAAGCTTTACCTAGTTTAATCCCCGTAACCATCCCATGAATTAGGCACAGTTATCCCTGTTTTATAGATGAGGCAACTGAGACTTCACAAAGGTTAAATAACATTCTAAGGTCACTCAACTAACTCACAAAGCTTGGATTTAAAAATCAGGATTGTTAGACTCAGAGACAGTTTCTTTGTGCCTTTTTTATTGTCACTTTTCTCTTTTTAATTCTGATAACACCCACTTCTGATCAATTGTGAATTGGCTGTTTTATTAACACTTTACAAAGTTAGGCGTTAACTAGAACACTTCTTCCCTCTTTAATATTTGCTCATTTTGGATCTTATCCCTCACATTGCTGATTTTCTGGGTTAGCCCTCAGAAGCCTGTCTTAGTCTGATATTCATGGGGACTAGAGCATGGAAAAGCTAACCAGAAATATCTCAGATTTGACGTAAAAATGAAGATGGTACATTTCACCAAAGATACTGGTCTCAAGTAGGTGTCTAAGCACACTGTCATTAAACAAACGATCGTATATATAATCTGGTAAACAACACTAGTGGGCCAGCATAATCAATTTACATAACTGAATGGGCTTTGAACACGCCAATTAAATACTTTTTAAAAAGTAACAGTTTTCTCAGAGACAGGTTGCTAGTTTAAAGGTCCAAGACTCCACGAGAGCTCAGGGATCCACAGGTATCACAAAATAGTATTTACTGTGCTCGGTGTTTCCAGCTCGGCCCTGCCTCTTGAGGGACCTGTTTACATGGTAAACGTTCTGGGCCACTCCAGAATTGCTCTTTTCTAACCGACAACAAGTTTGACTGCGTACCTATTAGAACAGCAGATATACGTACACAAATAACTCTGGGCTTGATACCAGTGCTGAGTGTAGGCTAAGTATGAAATAAGTAACCCCTGTTCATTTAAGTCATTAGGGACATCAAAACCACAGTGAGATACCATTCCCCTAAACTACAACGGCTACAACCAAAAAGGCAGACAGTAACAAGTGTTGGCAAGGATGTGGAGAAATTGGAACCCTCATCTATGGCTGAGGGAAATGTAAAATGGTGCAGCCACTTTGCAAAAATTTGACAGCTCTTCAAAATGTTAAACATCGTTACAGTATGTGTATGCAAACTGCTGCAGTTCCACACCTGGGATATACCGAAGAGGAGTGAAAATATATGCCCACACAGAAGCTTGGACGTGAATGTTCATGGCAACATTATTTGTAAGAGCCAAAAAGTGGAAACAACCCAAATGTCCATCAACTGACAAATGCATACATAAAATGTGATATATCCATATAGTGGAATATTATGTGGCAATAAAAATAAAGTACTGACACATGCTACGACACAGATGAACCTCAAAAAGATTATGCTAAATGAAAGAAGCCATTCAAAAGACCACATATTATATGATTCCATTTCTATGAAACGCCCAGGTTGGGCAAATCTATAGGCAGAGGTAGGTTAGTGGTTGCCTAAGACTAGGATGTGAGTGCAGGTTGGGAAGAAAGGGAGAGTGACTGCTAACAGGCCTAGGGATTTCTTTTTTGAGGATGGAGAAAGTTTTCTAAAATTAGATTATGGTGATGGTTGCACAACATTGACTTGTGCGCTTTAAATGGCTGGATACTGTCGTATGTGAATTATATCTCAACAGAACTGTTAAAAAATATTTGGCATAAAATTTTAAAACCGTCTTTCAAAACGTTAATTTAAACAGTGCTTTGTGAATTATAAATCGGTACCGTTTGGTCCTCTCAGGGTTTACAGAACTGCCCTAATGGCAGCCATGGTCGAGAAAATGAGTGAAAAGGTTGTGGGGAAGCGAAGGGAGGTGTTATTTGCAAATATGGACTGCTTTCAGGTCTCAGATCATTTAGGGAAACCTCTAAAAATAGGCTTTTCAATGAAGCTGGGGTTTTTTTCCTAAAGTATCCACTAAACATGAGTGAAAAGGAAAGAAGTGGAAATCTATTTTACTGAGTTTAGGGATTCTCTCCTTTCATCAGATATAATTTAAAGGCTGCAGAAAGCCTGAGTTGTGAATTCTAGAAAGTTCTCCATATATTCTCTTTCATAAGTTTGTGACAGTTGTCTTCATAGTGTTTTCCACATAGAGCTCAGTAGATGCTTATTCAGATGAAATGAACAGCTGAACGAGTGTCTGTTACTTTCAAGAATTTATTAAGAAAGGTTGTCCCTCTGCTTTTGACTCCTTAGAGGGGACTCCTTGGGGTGAAAGAAAGTACCAACAAGGCAGTGAGGAAGAGATAAAGTAGGTGCTTTTACCTTTCAAATAACATAGGAGAGTCTCCAATAAAAGAGAAATGACTCATTAGCTAAATTTTTTTTCCAGTGCTTTCATTTATGAATTTAAATTCTAACTGTCCCATAACATTGGAGTCTCTCTAATTTTTTCTTCTTTATGGTTTGTTCTATTTAAGTTATGTAGACTGTCTTGAATATTGACTTTGAGGGCTATCATCACGATAATTCTTTTCAGTCTCAACCCCATTTCTCATTTTGGCACAGATATGGAAAAGTCCCACTTTACTCGAGATCCATCCCAGCTTAAAGGCATCCTGGTTCGAGCATCATTGAAAAAAAGCACAATGGGATTTGGTTTCACCATTATTGGTGGAGATAGGCCTGATGAATTCCTACAGGTGAAAAACGTGCTGAAAGATGGCCCAGCAGCTCAGGATGGGAAAATTGCGCCAGGTAACCAGTTTTTCAGAATTACTCAAAAAGTACTGATACGATAATAAAAATTATATTATACTTAAAGGATATTTATATATTATACATATATATATCAGATATGTATATGTACACATACATATAAGTATATATGTATATATCATTTATAATTTAGATATATATTAAAAAGAGAACAAAATTATATAACTGCGAGGAGATTCCTGTATTAAAATAGTTTATCCTTTGAATGAAGTGCATACTAGTTTTGAGGGAGGGCCATCTTTACAAATAAGTGGACACTTAGAGGAAAGATATTACATTTGTTAATTTTTGAATAGTTTGTATAATTTTGAGATAACTCTTTGGCTGTACTAAGCTAAAGATTTATGAACCATCTCAGAAAACTATTTGATTGGTTTTCTTTGATTATGTAGGGTACTTTTGGAACTATCTAACATTTACCTATAATCTTTTTTGAAAAATGATCCTGTGTGATGTTTATAGTGGTACCAAGCAACCTGTTTTATCCCACAATTTCTTCCCAAGTTTTGTTTGTTTGTTTCCTTAGTCCCACTGGTTTTTAGTAAAATTAAATAGCTATGTTAAGAATTATAGACATGAAATTACTGTTTTTACAGAGCTCTGTAAATTTCTTTTTTCATAATATAGATTCAGATTTGTCTCAAACTGTTATCTAATTTGCATAGCAATACCATGCTTCCATGAAAATTTTGGCAACTTTAGGGGAGGAAAAGTCAAAATTTTGTTTCAAATTAGTCTAATTTCTTTACCTTCCTAGATTATGAAACAAATTTCTACAGACTTAACATTTGTTTTTAAATACCATGTTGATTTTTTTAAGCCTACATGCAATCAACAAATTAAAGCACTTTTATTTGGCAATAACCTTTAAATAATTATAATCAAATAAAAGCAGTAAATGGCTGAGACAGCAGAGCACAAATTTGAAAAGTTAGAGCTGCCTTAAAAAAAATACACAACTAATGAATATCAAGTGATAATGATTCTGCAACCAAAGTGGTCATAATAATGTAAAATTGGAAGCAAAAGCAACTTTTACAAGATTAATTTAGCTGACTTTTCAGTGTCTCAAATAACATGTTCTTTGCTTGTGTTGAATTTTTTTGTTGCTTTTTTCTCCTTTTCAAATCTGAATTGCAACAAATTGAAATGCTACAAAAAGAAGGATGCTAAAAGAAATATATTGATAACTTAACATTATTCTAATCATTAGCCTTACATTATGAATTTTTAATTACATTGAATCAGTGGCTTATTAAAGTCAAGAAACAAGGTGGTGGGGCTGGCTGGGTGGCTCAGTTGGTTAGAGCACAAGCTCTGAGCAACAGGGTTGCCGGTTCTATTCCCACATAAGCCAGTGAGCTGCACCTGAGCTGAGCTGCCGCTGAGCTGCCAACAGGTGGTAGGATGGCTCAGCTGGTGAGAGCATGTGCTCCTAACAACAAGGTTGCCGGTTCAACTCCCACATGGAATGGTGAGCTACGCCCACCCGCAACTAAGATGGAACATGGCACCTTGAAATGAGCAGCCATGAGCTGCTGACGGGCGGCCCCATGGCAACTGGACTTGGAGCTGAGCTAGCTGCGCCCTCCACAACTAAGATTGAAGGACAACAACTTGACTGTTCCCCTTCCCTAATTCCCCAACACTGTTCCCCTTCCCCAATTAAAAAAGAAAAAATCTTAAAAAACAACAACAAGGTGGTATGTAAAGATTACTGTTTGTACAGGTAGCCAGTGGAATTACTCTCCTATGCACTGACTACCTATTACAGTGTACCTAGCTTTGTATGGACACAGAGGTATGACTCAGAGGATCTCTTAACAATGATAATATGAATTTCCAGTTATTTTTTGTCTGATTCACTTGAGCTTGAGTTCATAACTCTTTGCCACAAAGATAATGAAGATTTTATATATTTATATAGTCTTTTTAGAGAGGAGCCACAGAAGGGAGAATAACATGTCGGTTCAAAATCTATCTTTTCAGCCATTAACGAACAGTAAGAGGTTTCCAGAATTCACATTTAGATGCTGAATTTAAGTTCTTTTTTTCTCCCCCCAAAACAACAAAAATTAAGTTATGTGGTGGTTTTATTATTTTTAACATGATTGTCTTTTCCCAGGTGATGTTATTGTAGACATCAATGGCAGCTGTGTCCTTGGTCACACCCATGCAGACGTTGTCCAGATGTTTCAGTTGGTGCCTGTCAATCAGTATGTGAACCTCACTTTATGTCGTGGTTACCCACTCCCTGATGACCATGACGACCCTGTCATGGACATTGTTGCTGCTACTCCCATCATCAACGGACAGTCATTAACCAAAGGAGAGACTTGTATGAATGCTCAGGATTTTAAGTCAGGACCCATGGTTCTGGACCAGAATGGAAAACCGGGACATACCTTGGTCAGCGACCGTCTCAATGGACCATCCGATCCGAGCGAGCAGAGAGCATCCATGGCCTCATCAGGCAGCTCCCAGCCTGAACTAGTGACTGTCCCTCTGATTAAGGGCCCTAAAGGCTTTGGGTTTGCAATTGCTGACAGCCCAACTGGACAGAAGGTGAAAATGATTTTGGATAGTGAGTGGTGTCCAGGCCTACAGAAAGGGGATATAATTAAAGAAATTTACCATCAGAATGTGCAGAATTTAACCCATCTCCAGGTGGTAGAGGTGCTAAAGCAGTTTCCAGTAGGTGCAGATGTACCATTACTTATCTTGAGAGGAGGTGAGTAAAAAGCACAACAAGGAAAAGTCTTCACTGTTCATGCATTTATATCTGTTAATTGTCCTTCCTTACAGGTCAGCATGTCTTTTTCCAGCAGACTTAACTGGTAAAGAGTGTGCATTTTCCTTAAGGTTCTGTCTGACTGCTTCCATAAGCAGTATCTTTTGCAGCAGTTTCTTTAGTTATTAATGGTTTCATTCGTATACTTTATGGATTTCTTTCCCTCCATATTCTTTTTAAAATCTGATTTATGGCTTTAATGATATGAGAGAGTCACACTGTGAAGTAGCATTGTGCTAGTTGAAATGAAATATATCCCCCTAATTTCATTTTCTCTGTTGATGACAACAGTAGAAATTGACTCTTTCCATCACCGGTACTTCCATCTGGACCTCTGTAATGGACCAAAGACGTTTGAAAGAGCTAGCTAGCATCTCTGTGAATAAATGAAATGTGGGGTAGGGTTGGGTGTTAATCTGTTCTGTAAAAGTAATCATGAAAGCTTGTTCTCATAAAGCTTTTATCTTAAGCTTTAGTATCTGTCCATAAATGTTAATTAAACCCCACAGTGCTCATGTGAGAGAAATATAATTTTTATTGTTCAAGGTCATCAGCTGGCACGAACTGCTCCCAGACATTATAAATCCAGTTCTAAGAACTGATCACAGAGTTTGCATTTTAATGGGCTTTTCTTATATCCGTACCTACGAATGACTAGTATTTTAAAGAATAAAATTTGGCCCCTCGCTCTTTTATCTCTCTGGCTTTTAGTGTTCATTTTTGAGGCAAATGAGCAGTTTAACTTTATTGAGGCGTTTTTTCCCTTATTCCTTTGAACTATTTTTGTTTCTTCTCTGGGTGATATGACAGAATGTTCTCAGAGTAAGGTGAAGATGTGTTTGTGAGTGCTATAGAGTTAACCAGAGTTCCAACAAATTTAACAGAGACCAGGGGTTGGTGTCAGACAGGTTGGATGTCCGTTTCCTGCCTTGCTACCTCTGTTGGTTCTACGGTATATGGAAATAAAGTTCATCTATTTGAGTCTATTTGGTTACCTTACCTATACAAATGGTAGTAACATTGATGCCTTAGGATTGCCATAAAAATGAAAGGAGATAATATATGTATAATGCCTGGCACCTAGGAGGTGTCGGACATAGAATTTACTAGAATTTAAAAGTTGAATCTAGTTTAGCATAAACATTAGCCTTATTTGTGATTTGGAAATGCTTCCTCTGTTTTTAAAATTTGGCTCGTTTTTTTAAAGGTCCTCCTTCACCAACTAAAACTGCCAAACTGGTGAGTATACAGTGGTCCTCCAATGCTCCTTCCCAACACACACTGAGAGAGACACCACGTGCCCCTCTGTAAGGACAGCTTACTGTGGTGGTGATTATCGACTGGGAGAAGTCAGGAGCCATACTGCCCTGGGCTGGTATCAGAAACTCAAGAGAAGCGTGTGAGTTAGAAAAAGCCCTCTAGAGAGGATGTGTGCTCTCCTGGTTAAGTATTTCAATTGGAGGAATACTAGAGACCCATTCCACCAATAATCCTGTCCTCTAAACAGTGAAAATGTGGACACAGTGAGGTGCCTACTTAGGGGTCCTTTTACTGTCTGTATTTGAATGGAGCCAATGGTAAGGCGAACCCTAACTGCTACATCTTTTCCCTGATGCCCTAAGGGAAGACATGGCAGCCTCACATAATTTCATGGAGACTCTAAATACCCACATTTAGGAGAATTTCTAGAGAATTCTGGCCTGCTGTGCTCAGTGTGCTTGTTATCAAAGTGATAGGTTGTCCGACTTGCAACAGTGTTTTCTTTAGCATTCTGAACAACCGAGTAGCCTATTTAAGAACCTGTATAGAGAATAAGACCTAAAAACAGGATGCACCAAATAACACTATGAAAGGAACTGTGTTAGGTGCATGTGTATAGCTACTTAAGTTTCCACAGTTATGTAGATATGGATATGAAGACAATTATGCGTAAAATCCTAATTTAGTTCTGGTTTGCTTGACTTGGAATCTGTCATCTCACAATTGAAAGATGGTCATCCATAGCCTTAAACCATAGGCTATTAACGGAAAGACCATCAGATGCAAAACAGATACATTCTTTCTAGCCCACCAAATAGGATCCTGTGCAAATTTGCTGTTTTATTGATCAAAAGGAACGAGACACTCTACACTTTCATAGACTGTACCACTTAGGTCCAGTGTAAACAGAATTTTTTTTTTTTTTTGCTTAGTCAGTTAAAATTGCTCTGTATTTTTCCACATTTCTCCGGTTCCTCTAGTAATCATTTTTAACTCCTGTTGCTAGCATATCTATTTCATCATGGTTGCCAGTGCAGCCATGGTGACCCTAAAGCAGCGGTTCCCAACCTTCCTAATGCCGCAATCCCTTAATACAGTTCCTCATGTTGTGGTGACACCCAACCATATAATTATTTTCGTTGCTACTCTATAACTGTGATTTTGCTACTGTTATGAATCGTAATGTAAATATCTTTTTGTTTTCCGATGGTCTAGGCGACCCCTGTGAAAGGGTCATTCGACCCCCAAAGGGGGTCGCGACCCACAGGCTGCCTAATGCTTTATAACTGATGGAAGTCTCCGATGACCTCTCCCTGCTCTGACAGAATCCCCAGATGTGGGGCAAAGGGCAGGAGACGGCTCTTATCTCCCCATCCATCTAACTGGGTCTGGGTCAGGGAATGGTCCCCTCACTTTGTAGGAACTGGCTCCTCACTACTCCCTGACAAAACTGCTGCGCCTGCAGTCTAGCTAGGATTAATTATTTTACCTCAAGCGTTCTATCATCCCCCTCTCTTAACAATAATTCCGGACAACAAGCTGTTCTCAAAAACATATTTATTTTCTTAGGCTGTTTATTGGATTTCATTTTTAAGATGTTATTAAAGAAGTCATTCGGCTTGGCTATTATTTGGGGGGAAAGTCTATCTGAATGGGAAAAATACAAAAATATGCTACTCTGTTTTTCCCTTATCTGACTGCCTGGCAGTGGTGCATGTCTCCTTAATATATTTGAATTGGTCATGCAGGTTTTCACAGTGTCATCTTTATAACCTAAGTTAACACTTCCTATTACATTTGCTTAGAAAGAATATTACCTTAAACATCTTCACTGGGAATTAAATTCAGGGAGTGAGGAGGGGGGATTTATTGGGCATTTATGAAGGTTTTCTCTCAGAGCCTCCCTCTCACTTTACTTAGAACTGTTGCCTTGTGTTGTATCCCTATTTATCATCTTCTCAAAGTCAATTGGTGAAGATGGGAAGATGTGAAGATTGCTTAAACACAAGACTAAGGCCTTTCTGTGGACATGATTATAACCTGTTTCTAATTGAAGTTAAATATGATTTACCCCAATACCCATGGCTATGTAAGTGAATTCCTAGAAGACTGCAGCTATGCTGTGGCTTTGACCTTGCCGCCTCGACAACTGTCATCAGTTGACATACCCAGTTCAGACAACAGTTTTATGAACTAATCAACCATCTGGTTTTTGAAAATACTAAGTAAGGCCCTTTTCCATTTCAGAAAACAGATAAAAAGGAAAATTCAGGAAGTTTGGAGGCCATAAATGAGCCCATTCCCCAGCCTATGCCTTTTCCACCCAGCATTATCAGGTCAGGATCCCCGAAATTGGATCCTTCTGAGGTCTACCTGAAATCTAAGACTTTATATGAAGATAAACGTAAGTAGCTGTGGGATATTTCAGGAGAGTATGCAAATTTGAATTTTTTAAAAAAATAGGACCTTCCCATCTTTCAAAACCATGTTGAAGTTATTCTTTCATTTCCATTTGAATATGACTCTGGGCTTCTTCCATTTACATCCATCCATTCATTCATTCATTCATTCATTCATTCTTTTCAGAACCATGTATTAAGTGCCTGCTATCTCCCCAATATCATAGTAAGTAATGGGAATACAGAAATAAATAGGTTACATCAGCCCTGCACCCCCCCAAAAAAATGATTAAACTTAAATGGAAAAGACAAATATGTAGTCAAATAATATGCAAATAAGCACAGGTAAGCCTAACAGGTACAGAAATAGAAGGAAGGACTGGCTGACCTGAGTCCAAAGCCAGAAGTGATCAATTTTACCCGTGTGGGTAGTAGGAAGTGTCAGATACTGCTTCATATAGGAAGTTAAACTTGAACCAAGTCTTCAAAGACAAAGGGGTGTTTACAGACAGAGAAAAGGGAAAGAAAGAAGGAATAACGTGTGCACATTGACCTTGCATGGCCAGGGCTCTGCGAGAGGTTCAGTGGGGCTGGGTGGGGTTGGCCGGTGGTGCCGTTTCTGAGGAGCTGGAGTCGGCCGTGGACATGATGGGGAGCCCTGGAATAGTTTTAACTGTAGGGATGCTATTAGTGGACTTGTGTTCTATTGGGTTGTTGGAAAAGTCATGACGCATTTTTGCAACGAAAAACAGAAAAAAATATGTCATGACTTTTCCAACAATCCAATAGAAAGATTTTCCTGGCAGGAGTGTGAAGCCTGGTGAATCAGCGGGGGTGCAGTCTGTGGAGGGCATCAGGGAGCGGACTCCTTGTGAGTCCAGCTGAGAGCCGAGAAGCAGGGGGAGTGCCTACAGCAGAAATTCATTTCCATGTTAATTTACTTACTAATGATAATCTTTTCCAAAGTAAAATTGCAGATTCAAGTAGGCTTAATTTTTTAAAATGTATTTGTTAAGAAATAGATCTAAATCTACCATGGAGAAGATGTCCACAGGTGGAAATATTATGGATAATTGACTTTATACTTATTTAACCAATTCTAGATCTTTATCTGGATAGTCCCAGGCTATATTTAGAAAGACAAAAACCAGGCATAAGCACAGCAAAGCAATAATTTAAATTAGCATAACTATAGAGAATGCCTTTCTTCACGTTTTTTCCCATTCATGACCTGATGCTTTCTTAGTATTGGTATAAACTGGTCAATCCCTTTGGGCCTCACCCATAAAGTAAATGAGTTGGACTCATGAGTCTTTTTATCTCTAAACTTCTGTGATTCTAATAGAAAGTATTTCTCGAAAAAGATTGCCTCTAAGGAACGTTATCAGGATTTACCCTATACAATGTCTCACATTATTTATAAAGTTCTCTGACATGTTTCTCTCTTTTCTCTTTCTAGCAAATAGTTCTTACTATAAATAACATTAATATTTTCCCAGAGATACAATTGTAGTCATGAAGTAGATTTTCCTGACTTAATTTTCTGATGAATGTGACCTGCCCCTTGGGGTCCGGATCCTGTGGGTTAAGACCCTGGACCCTGGAAATTAAGCTGAGTTTACATCTCAGCTCTGCCATTTACCTGCTGGGTGACACTGGGCAAGTTACTTAGGCCCTCAGTTTCCCCAGCTAGAAAATGGGGCTAATCATAGGCATTAGTTGTTATTTATTGTCTTTTAAAGTAGTATTATTTTGAAAAATTAGGCTAAGAAATCAGTTCACATGGAATTCTTTTCTGAAACAAAGGTATTAGGTTAAGAGTAGAATTAAGGTTTTTTATGGGCTCTCTTTTGTCCAAGTGTTAATTTACATAATTTGTACCTATCAGATGTCAAACTTACATTGGATAATTCTGAATTTAATATTGTAATATTGATTCAAAGGCACTAGGAGTTAATTGAAATATAACACTGAGTACGTGGAAGTGAGGGTAAGACATTCCTAAGCAATCTTGACACAAAGTTTTGTTTGGAGCTCAAAATAAAGATTTATCATTGAATTTTTTTTTTGTGGTTTTATACTCTTGTGTAATTTTTCACATATCAAAAAGTTCTGAGGGTACAGTTTATTGAACTCTATAATATTATCCTACTAAATATTGAACTTTTATTTTAATTCTTTTGAAATAAATCAAAGTATTTATTTATTTTTATATTTTCTGGTTTTCCTTAGCGCCAAATACCAAAGATTTGGATGTTTTTCTTCGGAAACAGGAATCAGGGTTTGGCTTCAGGGTGCTAGGAGGAGATGGACCTGACCAATCTGTAAGTTTAAATACTTTAGAATTCAGCTGTTACCATGAACTGCTTCCATTGGCTGTTTCCATGTAAACCTTTTAAGTGGCAATTTGGTAGCATATGATGTTTTTGTTTTCAGCTTTTGATTTTCTTCTTTTAAAGATTTTTGTTTTCTCTTACAGTTTCGTTAATATGAGAAAGAATTGCATTTCTATTAGTGTCATAGTCCCTCAGTTAACTTGGTGTAACTGAGGCTAACACTAGGAAAAAACTGAGTATGTCAGTTATACATTGGACAGTCATTAATTCATTTCTCCGTGTGCCTAAAGCTTATTTAAAATTTTTATTTCCTTTTGCCTTCGCTAAAAAGATGTTAAGACATTTTTCTTTTCTAAGAAATCTATAATTCAGAGTCCTATTTACCATAATCACTTGCTCTATCTTCTGAATGTTCTGTACGGTTGGCAGGGGCTGTGCATATTATGTCACCTAATCTTATTAATGGGAAGACATTTTCATGCTCAGTACTTTGCATCCTACTTCATCTGAAACTAGAAGAATGTAAAATAATTAATGTTTTTGTCAGAAAGCATGAGGGTTACATTTGCAAGGCATTTAAAATCTGGAATTTTATTTATTCATGATTCTCACATAAAGTTAGAGAGCAAATGTAGAGGGTATTATTTGTAAGTTTTCCCCTTAGTTTGAATAATGAAGAAGTAATGTGCTTTGTAGCATTTAAATATATATTTTAGGTTTTGGGTGTTTTTTTTTTGTATAATATCATGAAAGACTATATTATTATCATGCCTGGAAGTTAGGTGAGTAACAATAATCTTTTTAAATGACAGGCTTCCTTCTACCGGGGGTGCCAAAAACATGTATACACATGACTTGTATTCATCTTTTGTTATCGGTATATATTATTATAATTAAATCCAGTTTATTCCTTTCTTAAAATGTGTATACACTGTTTTGGCACCCTCTGTATTTCTGAACAGAACACTTGATTTGTATGGTATACATGTGTTCTAATTAGTCATTGGTTACAGTGAAAACAATCATCAGAGACAAAACTTAAGGCAGGTTGCCTTATGCCTTGATTGTTTCTGATGGTTGGTGTGGTTTTGTTTTATTGCTTCCTATTTTGTTGATACTCATAGTGTTCACTTAGACATTTTAAGAATTTATCTCAACTTGGGAGGAACCTTTCTCTTCTCTTCAATGTCAGGTTTGTAGCAACTCTGAAACTAGCCCAAACACTCAGGATTACCTAATTATAGAATCCTAATTGCTGGCAAACAGAATGAACTAGCTCTGTTCACCTGAATGAAAGTAGACTTCAGGCCACTCTGTTCCCTTAAAATATTTACTGCTTTGAGATTTAGGAACAAGAAATATTTCTGTTTTATATATACTGAACTTGTACCAATAACCGTATACTATGGGAGCATCATAAGAATTATCCCAGTTGCTGTGAGCAGTGTGTAGAAAATCTTTCCTGATAGCAGTAGACTTTTTTTTTTTTTTGCTTTTATAGCTACTCCACAGAATTGCATTTTCTGAGTTTAATGTTTTTGTTTTGTTGTAGTGCTGGAAGTGACGGTGGTACTTTTTAAGTTATCAAACAACTTTGTGTTTTCTATCGTCTTTGTACTCAACCTAAAGGATCTGGAAGGGATGAAGTAGTGTGGTGATTTGAAGGGCCATTTTCAATGGTCACTTTCTAAGATATCACCTTTCTAAAAATCGGACTGTTTTCATAGTTGAACTACAAAAACCTGTCGGTTTGCACCATTCTGAGTCAGAAAGTCCTTAGTTTAGTTAAGTCTTTTATGGGTCTTAGTAGACTATATTGACCAACCTACTCTCTATCTTACCAGATATACATCGGGGCCATCATTCCTCTGGGTGCAGCTGAGAAGGATGGTCGACTCCGAGCAGCCGATGAGCTAATGTGCATTGATGGAATTCCAGTTAAAGGCAAATCACACAAACAAGTCCTTGACCTCATGACAACTGCTGCTCGAAACGGCCACGTGTTATTAACCGTCAGAAGAAAGATCTTCTATGGTGGTATGTAAACCTGGCCCTGCTCTGATAAGTTAAAGAACAAAGCGAGTAGTCCACTGTCTATGTGGTTTTGCAGGTTACTTTACATATTTAAGATGTGAGATGGACTGCTGCTACCTACACCTGCACACAGGTGATGTTTAATAGTGTCTGAGACAACTCATTTGGTGTGATCGGGGCCTCATTGTGGAAGGCCATGGAAGGTCAAAAGGATTAAGAAATAATACTGTCAAAAAAGAGAAGTAAAATATGGGCTTTTATATTAAAATTATATGACTATATTGATGAACGTATCAGGTTAAATCTGTTTTCTTAAAAACAAACTTATTTGGTTATACTGAGATATCCCATTAGCTGAATATAAAAAGATTTTGGACCCTGATGAAATCCTAACTATTCAAAGAGGACAGAATGTTTCTGCTTGAGAAGTTTTGGTATAACGTAATTTAACATTTATTGAGTGCTCACTGTGTCCAAGACATATGTATTCTTTTATTTAATCTTTACCACACTGTGATGTAAAAACTGTCATTATCTAGTTTTATAATTACTCACAGAAAGGTTTAGAGACACACAGCTGGTAATGAGGGAGGCCAGGACTAAAACGGGTGTTTAATTACAGAGCCCAGGTCCAAACCATTACCCTGAGATATGAATATCTCTTATAATTTTTTTTTCATCAATAGCTTTGGAAATATTAAATAGGAATTTCTAGAAGTGAATTCTTGCCACTTTAAATTTTTTTTAAAAACCCTGTAGTCCAAGACTGTAAGCCTCACGAAGGCCAGAATATTTGTCCCTTTAGTTCGGTGCTGCGTCCCCAGCACTTAGGAAAGTGCCTGCCTGCCTGGCACAGAGGACATCAGCACCTGTTTGTCAGCTTGATGAGTACCTGCATGAGCTTTCAAAATGAGGATCCATGGTTTTGGGTTTTTTTTAAACTTTATTGGGGAACGGTGTGTTTTTCCAGGATCCATCAGCTCCAAGTCAAGTCGTTGTTTTCAGTCTAATTGTGGAGAGCGCAGCTCACTGGCCCATGTGGGAATCGAACCGGCAACCTTGGTGTTAAGAGCCTGCGCTCTAACCACCTGAGCTAACCAGTGCCCGTGGTTTTGATGGCAACATCCAAAGTAAAGGCCTGTCTCTCTTCGTAAATACCAGACATGTAAAGAGGCACACAGGTGTGAGTGCAGTATTGCCTCTGTTTGGCTGTGCTGGAATCAGAATATAACTGCACACAGTGAAAAATGGGATGTCATATTATATAACCGGAGGTCGATTGTCCGGGGCAGAGTCATGAAGAAGTAGTTTGATAATATTGAAGGCATTTAGCTTACTCGTTCTAACCATGTATGAAACCAAAAAAAATCCTTTAATTTTTTTTCTGTGATTAGATGTTAGTGGCACTTGGTTGAGATTCAAAAACATATTCTCAGAATCATGTGGATTTTGAGCCAAATTAGACCACATGTATGTGTATCCATCAAGGGCAGTATGTTGTGGTGGTGGTTAGTGATGGTTTGTATCAAATTATGGCACAAAATTTGCCTTTAAAAAAAATTAGGACCAACTTGAGTCGTTCTTTCTCAAATTTTGATGTTGCCCTTATCAGGACACAAAGGTTTGTGGGTTACCTGCCCATTTGCTAGAGAGTTTTTATGTGACCCGATCTGAGCCTTGGAGAGTTTGCTGTTCATGTGGACAGCTTGTCACATGTCTGAGAACTGCTCATGGTTAACTCATCTGATACAATCAGTCAGGAAACTGCCGCCGTAACACACATCGTATAAGAAAAATCCTGTGGGGATGGCAGCTGCTCTCAGCCTGGAATGGGCAGCACCTCTGTGCTGATGCAGTGGCCCCCCCAGACATCAGGAACGTCAGTCCCTGCACTAAATTATATGTAAAGTTGATTTTAAAAGGAAGTTTACTGTGTCATTTCTCATGATCAACTTTTGTAAAAAATTACTGGTTGAGATTAGAAACCTTGCTGGAATTCAAACAATTTCAAGAAGAATTTTGTTTTTTACCATCAGATTTCACAGAAGCTTTGAAAAACTTCCTTTACCGTGAGATAACATTGTGTATTTTTCCAATTATGTACTTTAAGAGTGTTTAAGAGGTCAGACGGACTGCTGCCACCCTCATCTGCACTCAGCTTATGTCCAGAGTTCACATGGGGACGGGTTGCTGCTTTTCCTTTCGTTATGTTATTAGAAACTAAATTTTCTAGTGAAAGGCTTAGCACAAAAACACTGTAGTGATCAAAAATTATGATCCAGAAATACCAAAATTGATTCTGTTTATTGCAGAGAAACCACCTGAGGATGACAGCTCTCAAGCCTTCCTTTCAGCACAGAATGGGTCTCCCCGCCTGAACCGAGCGGAAGTTCCAGCCAGGCCCGCGCCCCAGGAGGCCTATGACGTGGTGCTGCAACGAAAAGAAAGTGAAGGATTTGGCTTCGTCATCCTCACCTCCAAAAACAAACCGCCTCCAGGAGGTAAGGGCTGCTGTGTCCTGTTTTTCCTCCCTACAATGCCAGCGTCCTGAGCTCCTGCTGTGGCTCATTGAATTAATTAGGAATTATGTATATATTGCTTTAGGGGCCTCACTTGTAAAGAAAGACGAATATTTTCTTTATTTTCAAAAATTAGGTAATCGGAGCCAAACCTTCCAGGCTTCAGGTTTATCTATCATCTCAGAGTCCAGATAATAATAATAAGTCTTAGTAGCTCAGTCTGCCTCAAGATTCTATCATGGCAGAGTACCAGGGACATGACCTAATTGATTCAGTGAAAGGACAATGCTGAATTTTTTTAAATATGGAGGCATAGATTTTTTTTTTATGTTAGGAGAAATCATGTGTGCAGCAATGAATTCAATGCGAAAAGCAGTTGAGAAGAAGCAAAACAGATTAATAGAAAAATCTTGACCCAAATATGTCTTAAATGGTCTTTTTTGTTATATAATAACTGCCATCCGTATTCCATGTATAAAGTGATCTGCTTGAATCTAACCATTCTAACCTTCATCATATATGCTTCATTGAAAGGTATCAATTTTGTCAGAACCTTTAAAAATTAATCTAAATATCCTGAACCTGGTTTAACAGAATATTCTCATCCAGGAAGGATGGATGTATATATTAATTCTCTCAGTAAAAGAGGAATTACCTCTAGTTTTTTCAGGGCTGTTATGATTCAACAAATTAAATATTTGCCTTGTCTTAGCATTTCTAAGAAATAATGACCTCTAAATATAATTATAAAATCCAAATGAATATAAGATGAGAACCAGCAAATGGATATATTTATGTATCATGTTTGTCTGGTAACTTTATTTTTTCTATGTCAGATGATAAAAATCTTTGACCACATGAAAATGGGTTCTTACTTTTGCCAGTGGATTTGATTATATCTTGGGTGGTGAGATCCTAAAATCTTAGGAAAAAAAGAAAACACTTCCAAGAAAGTGTTGTGAACCAAACCAATTTGCAAAAATCTTGCTAAAATTAATGCATGTGTGTAAAGGAAGGCGATTCTGTGACATGGATGAGTTATTACTATAGTATCAGGTCATTGCTCACTGATACTACTTTCCATTTTCCATAAGCAGTTGCTATGGTAACACCTGGAACTGGAACTGTCACTGATGCTGTGAGGATGATTGTGTGGCCTGTGTCAGAAGAATGAAAGAAAGCAGCTTTTAGGTGCATTTTGTGCCATATCATTGGAAATCAGTATTTCCAAAAATAAATAACCATTTTAGATCATCGTAGTCTCAATCTAATACAATAATCCCAGGCTTAACCCAAATAGTGGGAGATTATTACCCAGTGTGATGCATGCTAAGCACTTTTTATATTGAAAATATTCTTTTTCCAGCACTGTAAAAATGAGGAGAGAGATTAGTGTTCACTATAAAATTAAGCAATATAGAATAATTCATTAAAAATAAGTTGCATTACATAAATATGTTTAACATGTTTATGTTATTTGTTTATATTTAAACTATATTATTACATTGTAATATACATTAAATATGTTCTTATTTGTGTATATTTGTTTATATTTAAACATTTTAAATATTTTTATACTTGTTCAAATTGTTTCTTACTATTTTGATGATTTTCTGTACCACAGATGCTAGCTACCTCTCTGGATAAGATTGTATCATTAAGTGTTGGGCTTTGTAATCAGACGAATTTGGATTCAAGCCCTGCTTAGGTCTTTGAATAGCTGTCTGATCTTGGGCAAATTACTTACCGTCTAAGAGCCGCAGTTTTCTCTGTAAAATAAGGATGGTAACACTTCCTATCTCACATGAGTTTGAGGATTAAAGGAAATAATGCATATGAGGCCGTTAGCCTGGACCTTCAATAAATGTTAGGGGCTGTTGCTTGTTGTAGCTTCTGCTGCCGTTACCATCATCGTTGTTTATAAAATTGTTTGTCACTGTCTCTTGATTTTTTTTTAAAAAAATAAACTTTAAAAGTTTATTAATACTTGAGTAATGAGATGGGAAAGAAAGCCTAATTAAAATGTAAGATGCTGGCAGCAGCGAATGTGTGGCAGGAAATGAGTGTTTGCAGCTCATTAATTATCAGCTTGAATGGTAAATGAGGCTTAGGTTGTCGATGAATTTTATATAAAGTACTTGAGATTTGCAGTCATGGTGCAAAGCCAGAACTGATCATTTCACCGAATGCTGAGCCCCGCAAGCAGTCTTCCTGGAACTCCACTCATCTCTTAGAGATAGAAAAAGGGGCCTGGGGTAAGCTGCCGCGAGGAGCCTTCAATCACAGACACTGAGCAATTGCTGCAAAACACATAACAGGAGTTTGGTTTAGAAAACAGTTAACACAGGTGGAAAGGCAGGGAACCTGGCTGTCAGAATGGATCATTTTTTATGGGCCTTGTCTTGGTATAGTTTGATATTCTGCTCGGCATAGATTATTTTTTTCTTTCTGATTAAATGTATTTTCTGATGACATTTGTCACAAGAAGAGTTCCCAGTAGCATCTCTACTACCAGTTAAAAAATTCGGAGATTCTCTACCATGGACTTTTTCAAAGGCTGGGGATCAAGGTCCAGCACCCTTAGTGCCCTGGACCCAGTTGGAATAAGTGCTAGAATGGAGTACTTAGAGGAGACCTCTATTTAAGATGAAAGGGATTTGGCTAGGTTTTGTTTTTGCCAGTACTTCAGAGGTTTTAGGGTTTCTCTCTCTTATCATATACTTTTCAGTTCTGGTTGTAAAGGATGTCTTTGAGAAGGGGACATTTCCAGTTACTGTCCTTTCTTTTCCTGAAAAGAAATATCTTAAGAGCACTAAAGTGATCCCAGCAGCGGGACAAGCCAGTCTGTGAGACTGATGTAGGCCAAAGATGAATGAAGATGGATAAATTGGCTTTATGGCCAACGCCTATAGCCTTTGTAAACCAACAAAACCAAGGTAGGGCCTCAGACTTTTCCCTGGCGATGTGTACCCTAAGGGGTTAGCTTGAAAACTTCCCAATCCATTCAGACAATGCCCAGAAGCTATCTTTCTCCTGGTCTGTTTGCTGTTTTTAACCATTTTGGTGGTACTGCCATAAATGCCAAGACAATAACAATCTGACTACTTTTACCGTCCCTCACTGAAATAACGAACCCTTCAGGAAGTCCTGCACTAAGATTTGCCAATTCCTTTTGGCCACGTGGCTCGCATGATGAGAGAGGAACCACTGGGACTTCAGAGATTAATTTCGTTTGATGCTTTACCCAAGCCTGAACAAACCCCTTTCAACGTACCAAGGAGCTGAATGTTTGTCCTCTCAGGGGATCTAGAATGAACACGATGTACGAGTAAATCTCTCCTAAGAAGGAGAATAACTTAGATATTGATTTAGAAGGGGACCACAGGGCCACCGCATGAGCCACCATATGTTTCTGATGTGCCACCTGTTATTCTCTTAGTGAATCCACTCATACCACCTGGCACAGGATAGGGCCCTCACTGCCCTGGCACTTTTCTAATCACTTTGTAAGGAAAATGGCATAATAAGTGCTTGGTATAATTCAGAGCTACAAGGCACTTGCTTCCAACATCAGCTTCCTGTACCTTAAGGTGAAATCTCTCCCTGGGTAACCCTAGAGGAGCCAAGGAACAGCGGTATCCGTGGGGACATACATCACGGCCGACAATAACTTCCAGTCCAAATGAAGGTCGATTAAAATGTCCCTAACATACACCACATAGTTCTCAGAAATACTTAGCAAGGAGCCCATTTTACTATGGAAATTAAACATAATCAGAGTGCCATTTAAAATATTAATTATCCCTATTCATAACCATCAGTAGTCAGCAGGAGCTCAGGTGCCTGATAAGTTTACTAAGCTAGGTAAGGACATTTTGAGAGAACCTAGAAGGAACATTTGCATCTTAATAAAAATGCTCCTTAGGAAAATGGTGAAAGATATTTGGGCAAGATTCCTGAATGTCTGAGAACTCATTTTAAGCCATAATAATAGCAAAGTGTCTTAATAGTCAGTCTAGGAAAGCCTTTAGCATTATGAGCTAGAGCTAGAGATAGAAGAGAACTGCAGAGTGTCTTTACAAAGGGCCTTCGGCTCCGCTTTGTGCTTTCGGGGTAGGATTTTTTCCATGAGCCAAATAATCTTAACGTGAACCATTTGATGTTCTAATTCACTCAGTTTTTTAATTTTAAAAAGATCTAAAGACATAAATAAAAGGAATTACTTTTGCTATAGAACTAAGTATGATTCATTTTAATGGTCATTCATTTCACTGTACTGGATTTCTGACCAGGAACTTCTGACTCCAAAACTTGAGTTTGAGCTGCATTTATTTACAAGGTATCTTGAGGGAGTAAATGCCCCTCCAGCAGAACCAAAGATGGTCTCACTGCAGCAGTTTCTAAAATAGCCCAGAATGTGACACAGCCTGAAAGGCCAACAACAAACAAAAAAAATCAGATAAGTGAAATATTATCAGTGAGGTCAGTAGCCTTTAAACAGGATTAGTAAGATGACGATATAAACATTGGAAAAAGGTTTATGGAAAATAGCAGAGAGGTTTATGTGCTGTGGCTGCAAATATGTAAAGAGTGTGGGTCAAAGTGACCAATGATGTGAAAATAGTTGCGCTTGGATAGGATGATCACATGCTTTTTTGCCATATATATATATATATATTTTTTTTTTTTTTTTTTAAAGATTTTATTGGGGAATGGGGAGAGAGGTACAGTGTTGGGGAATAGGGAAAGGGACTAGCTAAGTTGTTCTTCAGTCTTCATTGTGGAGGGCACCAGTTGCCATCTGGCTGCCCGTCGGCAGTTTGTGGCCTCTAAGCTCAAGGTGCTGTTTTCAGTCTTAGTTGCAGGTGGGCGTAGCCACCGTCCCATGCAGGAGTCGAACCAGCAGCCTTGTTAAGAGTGCCTGCTCTATCTACTGAGCCATCTGGGTGGCAGCTCAGATCAAGGTGCCGAGTTCAGTCTTAGTTGCAGGTGGGCACAGCCACCATCCCATGCAGGAGTTGAACCAGCAGCCTTGTTGTTAAGAGCACACGCTCTATCCACTGAGCCATCCGGGCGGCAGCTCAGCTCAAGGTGCCGAGTTCAGTCTTAGTTGCAGGTGGGCATAGCCCACCATCGAACAGGCAATCTTGCTGAGCCATCCTGCCACCTGTTGGCAGCTCAGTGACAGCTCAGCTCAGGCGCTGTGTCACTGGCCCATGTGGGAATTGAACCAGAGGCCCTGCTCAGAGCTCGCCCTTAAGCCAACTCTTAACCAACTGAGCCACTTGGCCGGCCCCATGTTTTGCTATATTTTTAAAGAATTTCCTTTGATGTTCCTGTGTTGACTTTTCTTTTTTTTTTTTTTTAAGATTTTTATTGGGGAATTGGGGGGATGGGAACAGCACTGGGGAATTTGGGGAAGGGGAACAGACAAGTTGCTGTCATTTTGTTCTTCAGTCTAGTTGTGAAGGACGTTGCTTCACTGGCCCAAGTTGGCACCATCATTGCGCTCTTCCCAGGTGAGGCAGATCAGTCGCCGGCTTCTGGATGGCCGCTCACTGCAGCTGCTGGCCGCTCATGCTGGCTGCTGGCTACACACGGTAGCCCATGGCAACCCACTGCAGCAGGGGCTGCAGCCTACAGTGGCTGGCGACTCATGGCAGCCCAGCTCCAGGTTGAGCTGTTGTTCAGCATCTTAGCTGTAGAGGGCAGTGTCACTGGCCCTCATATGTGGGATCCGAACCGGGGCCCTCTGGCATCCCAAGCCAGTTCTTAACCATCGCGCCACTCGGCCGGCCCAACTTTTACGATGACGATGATGATGATGATGATGATGTTGATGATGATAAATCCAACACTAACAGAGATCTTAAATAATTGAAAACCCTGGGGATTTTTTTTTTTTCTCATAGTCATTCCACATAAAATTGGCCGAGTCATTGAAGGAAGTCCAGCGGATCGCTGTGGAAAATTGAAGGTTGGAGACCATATCTCTGCGGTGAACGGGCAGTCCATTATCGAGCTGTCCCACGATAACATTGTTCAGCTGATCAAGGATGCTGGTGTCACTGTCACACTAACAGTCATTGCTGAAGAAGGTAAGAGCCAGTCGACCTGCCTTCCCCTCGCTGACCTGAGGGGACAGAGCCTGTAGAAGGCGGTGGCTTCCTCCAGCATTGCCAGAGCCTCTGCAGTGACAGAACCATTTCCATACCCTGGAGTCTCATGTTTTGCCTTTTGCACTTAATGAATTTAAACATCTATTGTAGAGTTGTCAGTAGCTCAAGGAAAAGAATCGAGCTAGCGAATGGCAGCCATTTATTCACGTACTAGAGAAGCAAGCACCTGGCCGTAGAAGAAACTGGAACCCTTTTCAGATCTTATTTTCTTACAATAATGTCTTTTTTTTTTTTAATTCTCTTTGTTTATTTTCAAAGATTTTATTGGGGAACTGGGGAAGGGGAACAGTGTTGGAAAATTGGAGAAGGGGAGCGGCCAAGTTGTTGTCCTTCAATCTTAGTTGTTGAGGGCGCAGCTAGCTCAGCTCCAAGTGCAGTCGCCATCCGGCCGCCCCTCAACAGCTCGTGGCTGCTCAGTTCAAGGTGCCATGTTTAATCTTAGTTGCTCAACTCCGGCGCAGCTCACTGGCCCATGTGGGAATTGAACCAGTGACCCTGTTGCTCAGAGCGTGCGTTCTTAACCAACTGAGCCACTCGGCCAGCCCTCTTACAATAATGTCTTAAGTCTCTGCTTGAGTGAGAGAAAATCCTCTGAAGACTTCAAATAAAGTCACTGAAAGTCTTGCATGTCAGGCCCCTGCATCAGTGTGTCTTTTCTTGGAAGCGGGGCTTTGTTCTGGGCAGATGCCTTATAAATAGGGGGAATGGGAGTATGTAGGGAGGGCCAGTAAATGGGGCATAAAATGCATTCAATGTCTTGCCTTGCTTTAAAGCTGCCTTTTGATCATTAAGAATTTCTAATTAGGAACCATTTTGAGTAGCACCAGTTCGTATGCTTTGTTTAAGAATTACAAGGTGACCATTTCATAATGCTCAGCTCATTTTTCCTAATTTTGTAAAACTAATGAGAAACCAAAACAGAATTTTGGAGGGTCAGTCTTGCATATTAAAAGTCCCTGTACTACAGTGTGTATACATGTCCCATTTCTCCCCCCTCCCCCGAAAATGATCCTCTAATCTAGTCAGTTTGGGGTCTTTGAATTCTTGATTCTTCCTTTCTTTTTCTCTTTCTACTGCTCCTCTCTCATACATTTCGATCTAAGGTATTATGTCAATCTTCCTGTCCAGGATCCTGTAGGGACCCTACATGGACACGGGTTCACCTGGCTGCTCTTGGAGGCCCTTTTGAATTCTGTGACCTGGTGACATCCCTGCCTCCACTGTTTCCTTTCTCTGGTCTGTCCCACACGCTGCCCCACTCTGCCAAGTCTTCCTTCTAAAATCCCCCTCACTTTCCCGCTCTCTGGACAGAAGTGGTGGTTTTTATGCTTGTGCTGCCAGCCTGTCTTTTAGATTTACCTCCCAAACCCTCATTGTCCTCTGCGCACACGGGGTCCCCCCCTCCCTGCAGTCCCACAGCACTGCTTATCTCTGTGATGCATTGGGCAGTATTCTCATATATCTGTCTCCCCATTAAGATGGACTATCTGCTCTTTGAAGACAAAGCAAATATTGCCCATTGCCTATGATACCCCATAGGCACTCAGTAAATATTTTTTCAGTGAAGGAACAAGTAAATGAATGAACGATCAAACGAAGAAATGAACACAGGACAAGTCAGGAGAGTCTTGGTCCCGTGCCTGTGCCTGGCAGAGGCAGCGTTAACCCAACAGGAGAGCTAAGGCTTTGGACAGACAGACAGCTCACTGACACCTTTTAGCTCATCGTGTGGCCTTAAGCCACTGAGCATTCCCACTTTTCAGGTTTTTAGGTGTGGAAGGGGAATAATAGCACCTGTTTCAGGATGCTTGTGAAGATGAAAGGTGAAACTGTACACAATCTGCATGAATACCCTAAGATCTGTGTCTGATGATAGCGGGCTGTGCTTCAATCTCACCACCTCAGGAAATACTACTAATAATATTCAGTAAGCACTAAGTGGCCGACACTGCCTTTAAATACTTTAAATCTGTGAACTTATTTCATTCTCACAGGAGTCCTGGGTAGGCACTATTATTTTCCCATCCTGGGGATGAGGGAACCGAGCTGCATACGTTAGATAACTTGCCCATGGCCACACAACTAGTAAGTGACAGTGAGAGAACCCGTATTTGAATCAGGCGGTCAGGCTGCAGAATCCACCTCCTAGACGCTATTCCTTCCTTAACCCCAGCTTCTAAAGTAACCCTCTGCCTGCCTCCTGCTACAGCCCTCCTCTAACCCCTTACCCTGCTTTACTTTTCTTCCTGAGATTACTAAGCCGTTTGTTGCCATCTCCCCCACCAGAATGTAAAATCATAGGATTCATGAAGTTAGAGGTTTTGTCACATTCAGTGCCAAATCTCAAGGTCTTACTACAATATTAGGCCTCTAGTAAGTCCTCAATAAAAATTTTTTTTGAATGAAGAATTAGTGTTACTTAGTGTGATTTTGGTCAGATTTCTTTCTTTTTTTTTTAAAGATTTTATTGGGGAATTGAGGGGAGGGAATAGCGTTGGGGAATCGGGGAAGAGGAACAGACAGGTAGACAAATTGCTGTTTTTGTTCTTCAGTCTAGTTGTGGAGGATGTCACTTCACTGGTCCATGTTGGTATTATCACTGTGCTCTTCCCGGGTTAGGCAATTGGTCACCGGTCATTGGTCAGCCACTCACAGCAGCTCCCGGCAGCACACACCGGCTGCCAGCTGCTCACGTAGCTCACCGCAGCCCACTGCAGCCCCGCTGCAGCCTATGCCATCTCCGGTGACTTACGGCAGCCCAGCTCCAGATCAAGCTGTTGTTCACCATCTTAGCTGTAGAGGGCGCAGTGTCACTGGTCCTCATGTGGGATCCGAACCACAGCCCTGCTGCTCAGAGCTGGAGCTCCTAAGCGAGCTCTTAACCAGCTGAGCCGCTCGGCCGGCCCTGGTCAGATTTCTTGATCTCAGTTTCTTGACTGTGATCTCTGTAGCCTGCTTTTTAGCCTTAAAATTGCACTGTTGCCACAAAGGAAAGCAGGTCTCAGTGCCACAGGAGATAACATTTCAGGGTTGTTCTGAGAATGATGGATGTAGTACAGTTATGTCACCATGCTTGGCATGCAGTAGTGGTAGAAGCTTCTACAGTAGAAGTACTGGAACTAGCAGCAGTGTAGAAGATGAGTGTTTCTCAGACTATCTCTAGAAAAGGACCAGCAGTTATTTTCCATTCCATCACAGACCAGCACTTTTGAGAAATATAATAAAAATTAAGTAAAAAATAACACAGACATAAAATTACTCTGTCAAATCATTTTAAACTTTTCTAAATACTTACTCTCAGTATCTGTACGCCATCTTCCTGCTGACTGACCCAGAAACCACACATCGAGTAGCCTCAAGATAGATAGTCCAGGAGTAGAAACACCACTTCTTTCTCTTAGTGTAATTTTTTCCCCCAAAATTACCCTTTATTGTCAATGGTGTTTTCTCAGAGAGGTTGTCCAAAATTGCTGTCATTTTTCTTAGAATGAAATTTAACTTTGACATTCTGGCTCAACTACTCCTGGTCATAACTCTTAAGGTTTCCTCTATAATGCCAGCCAGTGTTTAGGAAAAATGGAAGGGTGGAAGGAAACTCTGCCATAATACATACTCTAAGGTCTGTTTCATGTGTAGGCGCAGCCTATTACACTACAATCACATTTGACATGTAAAATCACATTTCAATGATTACACCTTATTTTATTATACTCTTGAGTTTCATTACACTATGGAAACATTGAGAATCTTATATTTTCTCAGGAAAAAAATAGAAAGTGTCTCTCCTGTCCATAAAAATCCCACTCGTAGAGTTTGTAAGTCTTCCAAGTTTCACATTGTATCCAGTATACAATCTATCAACTGCACTAAAGACTCAAATGAATATTTAAAGCTCTTTTCAGAAATCACACGTCCAGATCAGTGCCTCCAAGCTGCGTTACCTCCCATCTGATCCTGCTTCCCCAACTCGCCAAAAGCCACTCACCACCAATAGATAAAAGACAATTACCTGGAGAAAGAAAAACCTGTTCCCTTCATTCTCTTTTTCTCCTTTTGCCAGATACTATCTAATATGTGTGCTCATGTTGCCAAGGAAATGGTTAACCAAGTTCCCAAACCACACGTGTCACGTCTGGTATAAAACTCTTACACATATTCACTACTGGGGGCTGTCTCTGCCTCGTGCCATTCCCACCCTTCCCACCTCTTCTACCACCATGGTGTCTGGTTCTCAAGTATAAAGCGTAAATGAATTATGCCTGGCTGTTCTTGCTGATTGTAAGGAAATCTTTAAATTGCATTAGTTTTCAAATCGACTTCTAAATTTGTGTCTTGTTCATTCCACGTTAGCAGCGAACACAAGTTACCAAAGGCCCCTGAGGACTGTTAGAATGGTTCTGGTCGTGTCATAATTTTTATTTTGTTTTCCATTTATTTGTTTATTTACATTTGTCTCCATTTTCCACTTGGCGTTTCTCTCCCTGCTCCCACTGGAGACCAGTCCAGTGTGTTGTATATGACTTGTTTTATTGATATGTTTTATAAAATACACATTTTTCTGTGTGTTTGCATTTATTTTTGAGTATTATATAAATGATATTGAGTTATAGATTTTATGCAGGTTTTTTTCTCAGCACCATATGCTTTTCTTTTTAATGTCACTTTATCATTTCAGGATCCAATCCAAAATCTTACATGGTATTTACTTTTCATATCTTTTTTCTTTTAATATATAATTCCTATACTATAAAAGTCATTATTTTAAAGTATACAATTGAATGGGTTTTAGTATATTCACAAGGTTGTGCAGCCATGACCACTAATTCCAGAACATCATATCCCCCCTACAGGAAACCATTAATCTACTCTCTGTCTCTATGGGTTTGCTAAATATTTCAAAAACCCATGAGGTAGCTATAATTCCCTTTCTATGGATTGGATGATTGGAAGCACAGAGAATTTAAGTAATTTGCTCAAGAACACACAGCTCGTAAATGATGGGGTCAGGCTTAAACCCTGTCAATCTTGCTTCAAAGTTCCTGGTCGTAATCGCTAAGCTGTGCTCCCTCTCTTTGATATTTTAAATATCCTATGTTTAATATTTGGACAGGATAAAATATTGGAAAGTTTCAGCTTTAAAAATAGGAGTCTGGCAGCCTGAAGAGTATCTCTTAACTGTCATCTCCCAGGACTTGCCATCCAGTTCTAGATGCTGCACTTAGCTATGAAACCTGCCATCAAATAATAACAGACCGGTAGCTGTTGCAGAGGATACAGATACAACTGTTACTTTGTTCACCTCTATTTGTGCTCTTAGAAAATAGCAGGGAAACATTTACAAACATTTGTCTACACTCGGGAAGATTTTGTAAGCTTGTCTTTGGTGTTCAGTGTCAGGCAAGGTAATTACTCCCATATTGAAGATGCATGTTTAAAGATATGTTGTTCACAGACGTGCCTGTGTGTTCCTGGGTTCCTGAGACCTATCTTTGCCACCTAGAATGGTTTACCAGTTATGGGGCGTGTGCTCTGGAAACCCACAAATAGGTTACAGGAGAGTTCCTGGGGCTCTGGCCTTGTGGTACAATAATATTACTATTGGGTATGTTCATTTCTGATTCTCCTATTGTATGGATGATCAAAATGAAGGTGGAAGAGGGCAAGTGTGTGCAGTAAGAATACGATTGCTGCGCTCGTCAAACACCGTTAACCAAAAGCCACAGGGAAAAATGGTGATGTCCCACTTCCAGGCAGCTGACAACAATGCTGTTTGTTAGTCATTGAAGTCGGTAAAGAGTAACCACTCGTTTGTTACTCTCTCACTTTCACAGATCCACTTGGCCTTCACGTGTTTACATACAGATTCTTATCTCTGTCGTTTTCTCATTTGAACAGAGCATCATGGGCCACCATCCGGAACGAACTCAGCCAGGCAAAGCCCAGCCCTGCAGCACAGGCCCACGGGACAGTCACAGGCCAACCACGTACCTGGGGACAGGTGGGCAGTTCTCAGGTTTTGGTTTTGTTCTCTGCTTACCTCCCCACTCCTTATCACCCGCCCCACACAGTTTTGCAGAAGACAGCTGGTAAGGTCAAAATGAGAACTCTTGCATTTGCCACCTTCAGATCCCGTCCGTCTCTTCTCCATCCCCTTCCTCAGTAGCCTTCATCCCTCATCCCAGCCCCATCCCAGGACAGAATTGTCCACTGAGGCCTGACAAGTGGGTATTAGAGAGAGGCGGCCGCAGCACTGACCGTGCTACGCTTGGTCCTCCTAATTTGGGGAGGGAAGGAAGCCTCAGGCTCACACGGATTGCTGTCTTTCTAGACTGAGCAGAGCAAAGCAATATGAGTACCTGTTCCTTTACTCTGTGGTTGAAAATACTAGCCATAAAACAGAAACTAGATTTCCAGGAATTCAGCATCTTCATAGGCATCGGTGCTGCAGGAGAGCCGTTTTTCACTGTGACAGGGTCAGCTTCTCTGCCCTCTGTCCGGTTCAGTTACTTGAGGGCAGTTTTTCCTTGATGTAAACTGCGCTGAGATGCCCTTAAACACAAACAAGGGGCAGCGGAGAGGCTAAGCGTTGCTGCGGTATTACAAGCAGGCCTCTGCCTAGCATCTCTGCTTCGGGGTGTGGTCTATCGCTATAGCAGTTTGTTGGGGAGAGCGGCATGGTTCAGCTTTTAAAAGCAAGATTAACCCACCTTCCCTTTTAGCCTGTTGTTGATTTTCTCAGTTCAGAGGGTGATTCGATTTCTCTCTCATAGAAGTGCCCTGGAAGGTGAGGTTGGAAAAGATGGCTCCACTACTTACAGACATTCCTGGTCAGACCACAAGCACCTTGCACTGCCTGACACCGCGGTGATCTCAATTGTAGGCAGTCGGCACCATCAGGTAAACCGATATCCCCCCCAGATGCGCGGACTGTTACTTCATTTGCCGAGTCACTCACACTGGTGAATTTTTATTGCCAATCAGTTCAGATAAATTTGTTCCCCAAATTAGTAATTCTTGAGGATGTACTGTGTGTTTGGTGTTCTGTTAGCTTCCCTGAGAGAATGCAAAGAGTGAAAGAAAAGTCTGCGCTACAGTTGGAAAAATGTGAACCCTTGGTTAAGTACTTAGAAATAGCAGTGTTTCCACTAAAGTTTTTCAGTTTGGATTTTTTCCTTTTTCAGAAAAATTAGTCAAGATCTACTTAAAGGAAGTACAGTAAAACCTTGGATTGCGAGTGACTTGGTTTGCGAGTGTTCCGCAAGACGAGCAAACATTTCTGATAGATTTTAACTTGGTAAACGAGCGATGTCTTGCAATACGAGTACAGTAATACCTTGGCTTGCAAGCATAATTTGTTCCGGAAACAAACTACTTGTATTGCAAGACATCGCTCGTTTACCAAGTTAAAATCTATCAGAAATGTTTGCTCGTCTTGCGGAACACTCGCAAACCAAGTCACTCGCAATCCAAGGTTTTACTGTAGTTTGTCTCCGGAACGAATTATGCTCGCAAACCAAGGCATTACTGTACTTTCCAAAACTTTGTTCTGATTGTTCTGTTGCACACTGACCAACTAGTAGAGAAGACATATAATCTTCAGATTAAGCTGCATTTATAAAAACTAAACAGCCTGTCAACCCAAACTTCCATGCCTTCCTTATGATACAGAAATGCATATTGAGAGTATAAATCATTTCTCCCAGCTATAAAAGTAGTCTTTCTTCAGACCGTAAATAAAGCAGACCAGAAAACTTGTTTTTGTTCATTTCTCTCTCTCCAGAGCCCTAGCTGTTACCCGGTGGAGCTGGAGCGAGGCCCCCGGGGCTTCGGCTTCAGCCTCCGCGGGGGGAAGGAGTACAACATGGGGCTCTTTATCCTGCGTCTCGCCGAGGACGGGCCTGCCATCAAAGATGGCAGAATCCACGTGAGTTGGCTTCTGTCTGCCCCCTTGAGCTCTGGCTCCAGACTGGGAACTTCTGAAACTAGCTGATGGAAGGGCATGCAGAAAGCTCTTGAATCTAAGAAACGAGGTCTTCCATCACTGAAACCTGAAAGGCGGATGCTTACCATTCCCCTTTCTAACCCGATGGCGTCATTTCTTCTGTCCCGTTTGCCATGCTGTGCTGCACGCTTGTACTGGTGTCTCATGCCTGTCACTCCAGTATCTACAGCACCCAACATAGCGCCCTGAATATTCATCATAGGTGCTCCATAGATACTTGTAGAAAGAATAAGGTGAATGGATCATATTTCTAGCTATGAGAATTATTTTGTTAATATTTAAGATTAGCTCCCAGAACTTATTATTACTCAGTAAACAGGACTTGGGTTATATGAAGCAATTAGCAAACAATGTAATAATGTATTCTGTAAAACAAGACAATGTTAACTTGTAATATAAATGGAAGGGTGTTGAGTCATTGAGAGGATCTAAATTGAGTGAGTCTTAGGGTGGTCCTTAAATTTGGTTAAAATTTAGACAAGAGGGGGAAAGTTTGTGAGCTAAGGAAATGAGAAATCAGCTGAATGGAAAGTTTATATTTGGGAATAGTGTCAGATTTAAATATTTAACAGAACAAAGTCAGATTTAGAAAATTTAAGTGTCTGCTATCTTCTAGGCAACATGTTTTTACATAGATTAGTTGTAGTCTCACAAAAACTGTATGATATAGGGGCCATCATCCCCACTTACAGATTTAAAACTGAGGCTCAGGGAATCTAAATCTCTTGCTAGGTTCACTCAGTCTGTGACAGCCACGGTGTGACCCAGGTCTGATCTTCCAAACCCACTTTGTGGACTCTCCTCCATGTCACGCAATGGCTTGTGTTCATTTGCATTTGATTTCCTTTGGGAGGCATGTAGGTTTAACAGGTTATGAGATAATGTAAGCATTGTGTTAGTAATATCGTTCTGCAATTTTCATACATTTTTAGTGGAATTTTTAAAAACTGCAAGACTGTCTTAAAAATAGTGACTTTTTTAAAGGAACATAGTTTCCCCTATCCTTTCCTCCTGGGTTTTCTCCTTTTGACTCTCCTAGGCTTGTTTTCTCCCTTTCATTTCTCTCCTCCCCTGTTCCCTTCAGTTTCGTTTTTCAGTAATACAAACCTGAACTTGAATTTGTTCAACTTATCAAGATGTATTCCCTACTTTATTCTTAATCACATTTAAAATCTTTGAAGTAACAAAGTTGTAAAAGAATGTTTACATTTCCCACTCAAAGGTGCTGTGTTTTGTCTTCAGCTTTGTATAGACCAGTAGAGAACCCTCTCTGAGGGCCTGTCTGCCCTAAGTCTTAAAGCCTTGGCTCTGTCTCCTTCCCCACCATTTAGTTTTAAAGTTAAACAAAAGTGACACCTGGTGGAAAATCTGTTCAATTACAAGTTTTATTGCAATTTAGTTATGCTTAAACAAGAAATATGCAGGTTTGGACAGTAAATTTAAGTCAAGAATGTTATTGAAATTAATTATAACCTCAACTATGTTTTAAAAGATATACCCAAAGCATGCTCCAAATACTATCTAGTTTAAAATTCATTCCTCTAATTATCAGCAGGATTATATATCTAGTGCTAATTTATCATCTGTATTTCCTCATGAAAATGATTTTTCTTCAATCACAATGGAAATCTGGGTATTGACTTTTGTTTCACTTATATATTCTGGATATTAAGTTTTTAAAATCATGGTTATTACTTTTCTCCATTCTATTCTATCATCTTACTTCAGTTGTTTTTAAAGATTTCTACTTCATATGTTAAATCCATTGATCTTGTTTGATAGCTTCCATTTCTTCAAAAGTGAGACTCTCATCATTTTTTTCATAAATATCTAACAAAACACTTATTCTGTTTCATAGTTTACTTGAAATTGTTTGCATTATACAGTCTACAATTAAATTCATACTGATACGCTTTAAATTTGGTGGGGGGAACCAGAAAATAGATAACTTGAAAACTAACATTTATTCGTGCTTGGTGTATAGTTGTGTTTTATCGCACCTGCCCAAGTACCCCAGGAGGTACATAACTGATATTATCCCCATTTGCCAGAGAGGAAAATGGGGCCGCTCTGCTACGAAGAGGCGGAGCCAGGACGGAAACAAAGATATGGCTCCAGAGTCCAGCGTCCCAGCCCCATTATGGATGCAGAGTTGTCCCACCAACCTTTGTTAAATAATTATCCAGTCCTCTCTGTTGTTATTTCTTGATAGTTCAGTAAACTTTTATAAACATTTGAATTACTTTTTGGAATTTCAGTCATTTCCCATTGTTCAGTTTTGTTTTGACACCAATATCCTTCAGTTGCTTGTCACCTTGAAATATATTTTCAAATCCGGAATATATTTTAAAATCACCACCACATTATTTTTAATAAGGCCCTTTGCAAAATTTATACTTGATTCATCCATAGCTTTCCTTTTTCTTTTAAAATAACATTTCTAGTAAATAGCAATGGTCTGAGGCATCTTATTCTGATACCTAGGTTTTATATTTGTTTACTTAGGGAAATCATTTTACACTAAAGTAATGAAGTATGAGCCAGTTATCAGTTTTAAATTATTCATATTAATATATTCCCCAAGATGAGTTTTTTCAGCTTGAAGCTATGAATATTTGATTCTTGATTTCAAGATGTCTAGATCCTGCTTACTACTCATATAAAACTGTCCCACGTATGGTTTTTATAGAGTAAATAAAACCAGACATTCATTTTCTCTTCCTATTGCTAGCATCTAGCCACCCCTCTTGAACTCTCTAACATGACAGCACCATGTACAAGTAAAATAGCTTACAAACGAGAGGCAGTCAGCTAGGCTGAGCGGCTCTCAAGTCGACAGATGCAAAATGGACAAGTTTCACATTGTTCCTGGGAATGTCCTCCTGTCCAGGTTGGTGACCAGATTGTTGAAATCAATGGAGAACCGACACAAGGCATCACACATACGCGCGCAATTGAGCTCATTCAGGCCGGTGGCAATAAAGTCCTTCTTCTTTTGAGGCCAGGAACTGGCTTGATACCTGACCATGGTAAGTAAAGCAGCTCACCTGTAGCTGAAAAGTTAAGGCTGTGTTAGGGAGGGGGCATTTTACGAGCTGAGGCAAAGGTAGACAGCAGAACCTTGTTACAGAGCCTCGTTATAAATCACATAACTGGCTTCAGGCAGGACTTTTGTTGGGACGGGATGTATGTTAAGCTGGTTTCAACAGAACACATATACGTAGTTGTTGTTGCAGAGAAATGGGCCTGTAAACAAGGACATTCGAAACATGATTTAAATGTCATGAAAACACCTGAAACCTCTTCAAATGGTATTTCCTTATAGTAAGATAAGATTCTCAGTGAGCATCACTCCAGGCTTTTATGGTCACTTGTCAAAAACTAATTGCTGTCTAGCCCTATCTAGAGACAAGCTATTACCTGGAGATAAGGTATTGCCACATCTGTACTCCAGTACTGATGTTAAACTTCCTTGGTTTCACTGTATGTTTTCCATATACCACAGTATTTAAAAAATCACTCCTTTTTAATGGCGCACACTAGTCTAGAAATGAAGTGCCACACTGAGTGCTCCTCCCTTCTAGTTCCCTCCCCTCCCCCCCAGCTTCTGCGGGATAAGTGGAGATCTGACCTCCTGCAGCCCTTCCAGCCTGTAATTCTCTGACTGTGTTATTATCTTCCACCATCTGCTTGTAAATCATACGTTCCCCGTGCCACCTTTGCTAACTGCGCTGTGATTTTTTCTTTTTTTTTTACATAGTCCTAGGCTTTTTCTCTTCCTTCTTCAGGTTTGGCTCCTTCCGGTCTGTGCTCCTACGTGAAACCTGAGCAACATTAAGGCTTTCAGGGCTTTTCTCGGTCTTTCCTTAAAAAGACTTGGTAAATTTGCATGTCTTGTAAATCACTTCCTTCTTTTTAATTAAAAATGATGCTATTAAATACATCTACTTCTATCTTCTGCACTTTTCAGTTTCCTTGTGACATTAAATTTGACAGCTTCATGCAAGAAAAGTATTGATAAATGCCCATGAACCCCAGTCTGGTTACCAGTTTGGTCTCCTGTATTAGTGATTTTGGCGTATCCTTAAGCTCTGTAGCCATTGGTAACAGTTAAATTAGCAAGCTTCTTAGACCAGGTAATTTGGTCTAATTTTAAGTGTTGTACTGGGCTTTACTACTTACAAAGAATTTACATATCTTATATTATCTTACTAATCATGCATAAGTAATTGGAAAAATGAATATTTTGTGTATATGTAAACAACCTACCCTTAATGTACAAGTACAGCTGTCTGTATACATCTGTCTTTATAGAGAGATATCTGAGTATATATAAACTCTAAAATATTCAGGTTGTTTAAGCTGTACAATTTAAGTACAATTTAAACGGCTGTCAAAGCTCAAAACTGATTGTTCCTCTTTACAATTCCAGAATTTAACAATGTTCCACTCAAATGCATTTTTTTTAGGTGATTGGGATATTACTAATCCTTCATCATCAAACGTGATTTACGATGAACAGTCACCATTTCCCCCACTTTCACATCCTGCTTCCATATTTGAAGAGTCTCACATGCCAGTAATTGAAGAATCTTTAATGAGAGTTCAGATATGTGAAAAGGCAGAAGAGTTCAAGGACCTTGTGCCTGAAAAGAAAAGCACTTTAAATGAACATCAGTCTCTTCTCCAGAAAAATCTGAGTAAAAGGGATCCCCACAACAGTCACGGGCACAGTGACAAGAAACGCCTCTTCAAAGTAGAAAATGGCGTTCCACCCAGAGGTAGGTCTGCCAGCCCCAAAAAGTCAGCCGGTCGCTATTCAGAGGAACATTCAGAAAAGGTTCCCGGTCCTCCCAAAAATGACCCCAAAAGAAGGCCCCGAGAGCGATCACTCAGCCCCAGGAAAGGGGAGAGTAAAAGCCGTCAGATCAGCCCCAGGGCCGGTTCTGGACAAGATCATGGCAGAAGAGGCAGGGGGCGGTCTTCCAGCCCAAAGAAGGTGCAAAAAACTGAAGGAAGCAATGACCATGCAAATGCTGAAGCCCAGTTATTCGAGTTTGAGAATCGAAGAGCAGGGGGCCGTGCTGGTGACAGTGCTGAGCACATCCTGGATGGGAAAGAAAGATCGGGCGTTGTCAGGAAAGACACGAAGCAGAGCGAATCTGGAAAAACCACGACAAGGTCGCCAGAGAAAAGCAGCAGGAGGGCCGATGAGAAGTCGTTTCCACCCAAGAAGCCTAACAACACTGCTACTAGTAGAGCGGCTCCTGAGAATGAAAAAGGAAAGAAAGCAGCCTTGGGAGACACGAGCTCCAGTAAAGACAAGCTAGAACACGTCAGAACATCAGAGAAGAAGCTGAAGCAGGAACCTGACGAAAGAACGGCTATGAACAAAACGGAAGATCACAAGGGAAAGGACCTCGAGGCAGGTGACAAAAGCAGAGAGAGTGGAGGGTTCAGACCTGAAGGTGGCTCTCCCGCTAGGAAAGCGCCAATCACTCCAGGGCCCTGGAAGGTGCCAAGTGCACATAAAGCCACAGGCACTGCTGGTGTGGCTGAAAAACGGCTGTAACCTTCACCATGAAACAAAGAAAAACAAGTTGTAATCTTTTTTACTAAAGAGCAACATTTATATTAAAAAAAGTCATTTTTTTTTCCCCTCAGGCATTCTGAAACACACGTAAGTATATTTTGATTGAGCATCGAGTCACCTACGCTGCATGAAGGGCCTGTAGGTTTGCTAAGAACCCACTGTCCCCCTGGCTGGCTGCCTGCCCTCACGCTCACCTGACAATGCCCTGCTCGTTGTCATGAGTGTCGGAACAAATGACATATGTGATATTAACAATGTGGTCGCAACTCACTTTATATTTGTGCCAAGTTATCTACTGTATCATGTCTATTTTATCCTTCTCATGCAGATATTTCCACAGTAATGAAAAAATTAGGTTTGGCTTGGAAGTTGATATTTTCAATAGCATGTTGCATGTTTACAGAGAGAAATATTTGAGTCCTTGCAGAAGAAGAGATTAACTGATCATTAAAGGTGGCAGTTGCCTCTTCTAACAGCTACTGATGATGTCCCCGTTTCAAAATACAACTCAAACATCACTGCTGTGGTGGCTGAAGTGTAGTTAAATATTGACACTGTTTTTATGGCTTAGTATTTTAATTTGGCTGGGTAAGATATTTCAAATAACTGTTAAAGACATTACTTACAATTGACTATTCAAAATGAGAACGTACTTTAAGCAATTAAGAGTTCACCTCTTGCTCTGTTATCCAGCCCTGACGTAATTATAGCATCTCAGATCACCCTTTTATTTCAATTGTTTCACTGAAAAACCACAAAGAAGCCTGTGGAAATAGTGCTTTAAAAAAACTACCAAATTTCTGAATATTTTGGTTGTACCTACTACTAAGTTATTAGTTGTTAATATGTAATACATATTTGAAGAGTCAAAATATTATACAGCTTATGTGAGGGACTTAATCATTCAACTAGTTTCACAGTCCACTGCCTGATAAAGTACCATCTCATCTGGTAGCAGCTGTAGAAGTTGGGGTGTTTAGACGCAGAACCCTTGTAAGACCCGCTCGGCAGGTAAGGACAAACACGCTGACAGACAGTACTTGCTAGATCTTAATTTCTAGCTACATTTACTTTCTTGTTTTTAAACAAGAAAGGGAGACTAAATGTCTGCTTCGCTTGTACAGCTTTTCAGAGTTCTTTTTTAAAGTCGCACTCAAGACGTGCATTAGAAGGTGGAAACAGTTTTTGACTCCATAAAATAGATGCAGGTTTTCCAGTCCCAGCATTCAGTAGCATCTATAAATAAAGGAGCTTCTCAGAATAGAAGCATCTTATGGAGTATTTGGACACACTTGTTTTGTCGCCCTGGGTCCATCTTGTTGTTATGAAACCATTAGGTCTGGGTCCTTCCCTCTCAGTCTGACTGTGAAACTCTTATTAATGTAACAACTGACTCAGCCCCTGTAGATAAGACGTGCTTCCCAGAGTGAGATTTTTGAAATCCCCTTTTCATCCAGAACTATATTTACCCACGTATTGTAACTACTTGAATAGAGCAAAATTAGAAGGCTTGATAAGCGCTATGAATTTAGTACCACAGAAATGATTTATTTTCCCTTTAGTCCACAATTAGTGATAAAAATCCTATTTTTTATTGTTAACTGTGACATAACTTTGATGTCATATGTTGTCAGTCTGATGTGGCTCTTTCCTCTCTAAGTAACCTGTCACTGTCCTGATTATATACTGACTTAGCAATGTGGCCTTGAAATGCTAAGCAAATTATGGATGTACTGGTTGTAAATGTTTATATATTGTACAGTACCTTTATATATACACTTGAGGCTCTGATTAGAGAAAAAGATCTGTAAATCGCTCGTTATTTTTTATATAGATATTAAAAAAACCCACAAAAACCAATTCACAGCCTGCTTTTCTTCTACTGTTGGGCTTATTTAATGTTGCTTTCTATTTATGGAGCTAATTCTCATTATGGTCTATTGAGTCCTCAAACAGACTTTTGTCCCTCCAAGTAACAAACACTCACAGTCCTACAAACAGGAAGACTCTTTATAATGATGACTTTCCCTATATATAGCTATACTTTTATCTACATGGGTTAAGCTTGAAATTGGGTTGAGTTAAATATCATTGTACCTATTTTATACCTTTCATTGTAAAGAAACTAGCTTTCTATAAGTAATTTACTACCCCCAAAATCCTTTCTTATACTGTCAGGAGAAAGAAAGGGCTTGTCTTATTGGAAATTCAGTTGCTAGACATTTCTAATGGATAGAGGACTGTAAGTCCAGTTACCACAAAATTCTGTTTCATCAGAATATGACATTTCACATTTTTATTTATTTATTTTTTTAAAATATTTTTATTGGGGAATTGGGGGATGGGAACAGTGCTGGGGAATTGGGGGAAGGGGAACAGACAAGTTGCTGTCCTTTTGTTCTTCAGTCTAGTTGTGGAGGACGTTGCTTCACTGGCCCAAGTTGGCACCATCATTGCGCTCTTTCCGGGCGAGGCACATCAGTCGTCGGCTTCTGGACGGCCGTTCACTGCAGCTGCTGGCTGCTCACGCTGGCTGCTGGCTACATACGGTAGCCCATGGCAACCCACTGCCACAGGGGTGCAGCCTATGCCGTCACCGGCGACTCACAGCAGCACAGCTCCAGGTTGAGCTGTTGTTCAGCATCTTAGCTGCAGAGGGCAGTGTCACTAGCCCTCATATGTTGGATCCAAACGGGGGCCCTCTGGCGTCCCAAGCCAGTTCTTAACCATCGCGCCACTCGGCCGGCCCATTTCACATTATTTTTAAGTCATCCTATTTACTATAGGTTATACTTACATTTAGAATGAAGTGTTCTGACTTAATTCTTGGTATGAATAATGCCAAAAGCCAATTTCAAGACCACTGTGAATTTAATACTCTTGAAGGGAAAAATAAATGCCTACCATTGCATGAACTCACACTAAGAAAAAACCCAAGCCATGCAATGGAGATGTGTGTCATAAGAAGGCTGCAAAAAGTGGCAGCATAGTTTTATTGTTGTTTTAGTGGACATATCTTCTTACTGATCACAACAGCAAAAAAAGTACTGGGATGCTGGGACATGATCTCATTAGGACGATTAAATTAAGATTCTATATTATTTTCTTCTTCTGACCTGGTTACATCAAGTGTTATTAACCAAGTGGCTTCGAAACAGTAAACTCCTGTTTCAGAAGTCCTGGATACAGAAAAGCATTTGGCTTTTTATTTCTACATGAGACTATCTTAGTAAGATAGTAAGTCTTAGTAAGATAGTAAGACTGTCTTAGTAAGATAGCCTCATGTAGAAAAGCCAAAATGCTTTTAAACATGTGGACACATGAATTTCATGTTTACTAGGTCCAACATACAAAGAGAACTATGTTTTAAGAAAGCCAGGAAGGGCTGGCCGAGTGGCGCATTGGTTAGGAGTTGGCTTGGGAATGCCAGCTCTGAGCATCAGGGCCCCGGTTCGGATCCCACATGAGGGCCAGTGACGCTGTGCCCCCTCCAGCTAAGATGGTGAACAACAGCTCAACCTAGAGTTGGGCTGCCATGAGTCGTGACGATGGCGTAGGCTGCAGCCCCTGCTGCAGTGGGCTGCCGTGAGCTACCATGAGTGGCTGGCAGCCAGTGTTAGCTGCCGTGAGCTGCTGTGAGTGGCCCCCCAATGACCGGCAAGTGAGTGCCTCACCCAGGAAGAGTGCAATGATAATACCAACATGGGCCAGTGAAGCGACGTCCTCCACAACTAGACTGAGGAACGAAAGGACAGCAACTTATCTGTTCCTGTTCCCCAATTCCCTAATAAAAATCTTTAAAAAAAAAAAGCCAGGAATATTTAAATGAGTTAAAATGGTGCACAGTCTCAGTAATGACTTCCTCAAAGATGTCTTTCAATGGAAGCTTAGTCCATAGCATGCTCCTGGGATTACGGATCACTGGTATAAACAGACTTCAGTCACAAAATGTGATGCTTCCGTGTGGAATGAAGAACACATCAGAGCAACGTTTTACATCCTCATGGCATGCTCCACTGCCTAAGACTATCTGTGCTATTTAAACAATAACAGATTTATGTAGCAGCTCTTCACCAGTCATGCTATTGAGGTTTATCAGCAATACAATGACTTGTGTATAGCATGCCATAATTATTACATGATATCTATCATCTTTGCTTTAGTTAACTGAATAAGTTCAAGATACCCATTAACTTGGATCTGTTCTCAGTGTTGCAAATAGAACCTTAAAAAGTGTAAGAAGGGAGTATGAAGGCTTATGAAGACTGGAATTCCGTCTACTAAAGAACTGTGAATCTTTCTCACACATACATTAAACCACAAAAACACAGCCAAGTGCTTTCATGTAGCCTAATCCTATATTTTGACAAAGAATCCTGTGGGTACTTGTCTATTTTACAATGTTTCCATTAAAATCAAGCAGAGTGTTAGCAAATAAACAAATCAGGAGGCTTATTTTGTCCTTAGTAAACCACAACCATTTGTTACCTTGAGAAATACCATAGTACAGCTTATAGGCCCAGGACACGCTGCAGGAAAGGTATGGGAGTATTTCACATTTGTGAAATTCAAACTTCATTATTCAAGATGGGCACCAATAACTGCAAAAAGCAAAGGAATTAAATGACTGAACTAGTCAATACATGTATAGATGAGATTAAATTTAATGAATTTACTTCTTGATAATCCAAAATCATACATATTTGAAAGTGAGACCCGGGCCGGCCTAGTGGCGCAATGGTTAAGAACTCGCTTGGGATGCCAGAGGGCCCCGGTTCGGATCCCACATATGAGGGCCAGTGACACTGCCCTCCACAGCTAAGATGCTGAACAACAGCTCAAACTGGAGCTGGGCTACTGTGAGTCGCCGGCGACGGCGTAGGCTGCAGCCCCTGTGGCAGTGGGTTGTCATGGGCTACCGTATGTAGCCAGCAGCCAGCGTGAGCGGCCAGCAGCCGCAGTGAGCGGCCATCCAGAAGCCGGCGACTGATCTGCCTCGCCAGAGAAGAGCGCAATGATGGTGCCAACTTGGGCCAGTGAAGCAACGTCCTCCACAACTAGATTGAAGAACAAAACGACAGCAACTTGTCTGTTCCCCTTCCCCCAACTCCCCAGCACTGTTCCCATCCCCCCAATTCCCCAATAAAAATAAAAAAAAATCTTTAAAAAAAAAAAAAGGAAGTGAGACCCATTTGGCCCATCATGAGCACATAGTTCTAAAAAATTTCAAAAATGAATTTCATTAATTTGAAAGAAGGTTGTTTTTACAGTGCATAGATCCCCTTCCCTCTAAATACAAGAACCAAAAAAGAAAAACATCCCTCAGCTTATACTTTGTGAGACATACTGGTATTGAGGATTTTTCTACATGTCTCTGAAAGTCAAGAAAACCATACCCTGACTAGGCAAGTATTTGGTTATTCAACTTTTCAAAATGTTTAGTTTGTATTTTACATGGGCCATAGTGTATGTATTTAGGAAGCCTGCGGTTATACCTCTGTAGCAATTTAGCAGGGATAACTTTTCCCAATACAACAAATTATAAAATTAAGTGAACAGGTACTTTTCTTATCCTTCTATGGTTATTACTATTCCAATGAAGTGTATGAATATCCTGGTGTAGCTCTGTTTACAATCTTGGTTTAATTTCTCAGTAAATATTATCAAAGAATATCTAACTCCTTTTTTGGTATCAAAACAAAAGTTCCTAGAAATTACTATACAGAGATAAATGAAACACTGATAGGAGAACCATGAAGTTAAACTCTTCCATTCTAACAACAACAACAAAATTACATGAGTGGTAAATTACTTCATTCATTCTACAGATTTATACTGAGTCCCCATTATAGGGTAAGGTACTTACTGTTCTGCATTCTGGGGACCTAGAAGTGTATTTTTTTAAAAAAAGTCCCTGCCTTAAGGGGCTTACATTCTAGTGGGGAAGGACAGAATCAAGCAGGTAAAAAATCAGCAAGATAATCAGATTGTGCTAAATGCCATGAAGGAAACGAACAGGGCCATATAACTGATAACAAGGGTGATGTGTGCAACTACCTTAACTGGGGTCATCGGAGAAAGCCCCGCTAAAGCCCCAGCTGAGAAGCCATTCAAGGAAAACCTAGAAAAACACTCAAGAAAAGAACCTGGTATAGTGGAGCACAGAAGGAGGTCAGTGTGAAGGAGAACAATATTGAGAAGGTGGCGTTGGAAAGGGACAAGCTTGATAAGGGCCTTGGAGGCCACCACAGGGAAAGCTAGGAATGATTTCTTTTCAGTAGGAATGATACAAATAGAGTTTCCAGATTTTTAAGTTCATTCAGGTGGCTGTGGAGAACCAACAGTAGGAGGCAGTCAGCCTGGTAGCCCAGGTAGAAGGGAAGGAGGCTTAACCTAACAGCTGGAATGTAGAACTGACACGACTTGGCGGTGGATTAGATACGGAGGAAAAGAGAGCAACCAAGAATAAACCCTAAGCCTTTGGCTGGAGCAACTGGGTAAAAACTGTTCCATTTTCCAAGGTGGAAAAAACATTTACTCTTCCACCTTAAACAACTAGGAAAAAAAAAAAAGGAAAAATACACATGAGAATTGGGTTTTAGATGTTGGACAATAGGTAGTACAGAATAGTGGAATTAAGCGAGGTGAGCCCCATGATTTCCCCAGATTACTGCTTTGGGGCAGTTTTCAGGCTGTGATGTAGGAAGGGGATCCCAAACCAAACCAAGCAGTCTTACTGAGTTAAGGAGACAGAGTTAGGAATTTGGGGAGGCTGGGACCACTAGAATCTACAGGGCAGAGGACCAGAGAGAAGACAGCTGCACAGAGAACAGAGAGCTCCAAAAATGGGCAAGAGGCTT